CGAGGGATATTGTTATTATACATGTAAATGGTAGAGTGATAATCTTTCTTTACAAAAAATAATAATGGTATGGAAAAATAATAAAAAAAAGATAACGGTGTTTAGTAGAAATTTTCCTTATATATTTTTGTTTCCACTATAATGTTTACATTTGTACAGGTTATTCTCTGAATACTTCTATATTATATCGGCAGTCCATAAAAAATTCATAATAATATATGATATAGTATTTTTAATGCAAATACCGATGCACGTCATATATCATTTATGAAGTCACGACCTTGCAGTGTTGCGTAATCATCAGAATACTCGAGAAATGTAGGAAGTTTTGAAATTTTAAGATTATTTTTTTGCTTTTTAGTAGGGTTACCAACCTTTCCCGATTTAGGCGGGAGGCACCCGCTTTTTTACTGAGCCTCCCGCGCACTTACACGAAACTCATGCTTTTACGCAAAATAGAAAATACATGAATTACTTTAAAAATTAGGGTATCTATTTTTATTTTTACCATAATTTAAATATTTTATAATCAATCCGGCAACACAGCGCAACCAGGGCGCGCTTTGTTAATAGTATTTGCGTTTTTTTTTTGTTTCCAAAGATAGTAACTTGAGGTTAATATTAAAAATCCACATTTCCTAATTTATAAATTTTTTAATATGTTTTTACTTCCGAGATTAGGTATTTCAGATTTTCACGTTTTAGGGTCCCTACATTGCGATAAACATGTTTCCCCATTCCGTCGGCCTGTCTGTCTGTCTGTTGGCACGATAGCTCAAAAACGGCTTTATAGAAAAAAATTAAATTTTGTATGTAGATAAGGTTCTTTTCTGGCTCAAACCCAGTTATACTTCCGATCAGTTATATACAAGGTGAGCAGTTTAAAAAAAAATATTTTTAAAAGTCGTCAGATTTCGACTAAAATTGGTATCTGAGAATTTTAGAAGCCAAAGTTTTTAAAAATTCAAACTGGCGTTGAAAGGAATCGTTTTTAATTAAAAAGGTCCCCCTTCAAAATCAAAGGGCTTTAAATTTTAAAATATAATGAAAATATTCCCAATTCCTATATTCCTAATATAATCCTTAAATTTGAACTTTTAATGTCTTGTTAATGATTTTTTAAAATTCGCCAAAGTTAGTGGCTAAAACGCCTTGTTAAGTGAAATCTTTTGGTGTAAACCGTTGCAAGAAACGAATGATGACAGAATGTACGATATATCTGGTACGATACGATAGTTACAGGCGCGTTACACCAGAAGGCAGCACTTAACGAGACCTTTTTATCCACTAATTTTGACGAATTTAAAAAAAAATCATTAACAAAACATTAAGAGCTCAAATTTCGGGATTATATTAATGTATTTAATTTCATTATAATATTTATTTCAAAATTTAAAGCTCTTTGATTTTTTTTCTCGGAAATTGAAAGGATTTAAAACTTTAAAATATATGCATATCTAGATAATATTACTTATTATAAACTAAGTGATAAAAACATGGATTTTTTCAGTAAATAGGAAATAATGATTAAACATTTTATTTCAAAAGAACATATTTTTTTCAAATTTTCAGTTTTTGCAGCTACTATTAATTTGCCAATGTGACTATAAAATATAATAAATTGGAGATATTATTTGGAACATTGAAATTAAGTACAATAAGCGTCCTGCAATAGGTTGTTGCAGGACACTGGACAATGCACCCCAAATGGTGGACGTCCATCGAAATGCAGGACGGTTGGCAACTCTACCAGGAAACAATAAATATGTTTTTAGCTGCTTGATCCGAAAACATATATAAAAAATTAAAAGCGTACATTTTTTTTTGTCAATATTATTCGTGAGACTGTCCTGCCGACTTAACGTATTATTACAATGAAGAACACTGCCAAATTTCAACAAAATCGACAAAAGGATTTTTCATATATTAATAATAAACCTGTTTTTTTGTTTTTAAAAACTTTGACACCCTGTATCATCAAAACCTTACTTTTTAGGACACATGTAATTCTGAAATTATCAAAATAATCATCAATACATTTTTCAGTTTTTAGTAATGCTCGTGAATATTCGTGACATTTTCGGATTATTAACTTAGGAACATTTTAATTAGTTGGTTGGTATTACTCTGACGAAAGACTAACGTCACTGATAACGTGCAACGAGATTTGTATTAAAAATATGTATATTATTTAGAAGATAAACTCAACAATCAATTTTGCTTCTATATTCTATAAAAGTTAGAAGGATTGGATTAGATCCATTGCACTTATACCTCGTTGGTCACATTGTACATCCTCTTAAGCTCGTCAAAGTATTTGGTAACTTTGACGATAGACGCCTTCCTAGCTTTGTCAAATTTAGATCCATTGCTCTTATACCTCATTAGTCACATTGTGTATCCTCTTAAGCTCGTCAAAGCATTTGGTAACTTTGACGATAGGCGCCTTCCTAGCTTTGTCAACCAGCCTACTTTTGTGAATAGTTGATAACGTCTGCGAGAGCTGTATATTGATACCTATTCTTATTTTAACACTGTAGGGTCTTTAAATATTTTCCCATTTTGAAAAACTTAAGTTGAGCTTGTTTTTACACGCTTATTACGCCAAACCTTTGATTATTCTTATAATGTTGACAGTTTGGTTTCTAATTTATAAAATGTGAATGGGATTTTTGATATCCCATGACCATAACGCAGCTCGAATTTGACACGATAGAATCAAGCACGATTTGCAACGGAAATCAACCATTGGTGGGAGCCCCAGGCTCCCATCCTCTTTCACATGTACGAAGAGAAATTCCCGGGGGCCAGGGATGTCCCATGTTACCACACCTGCACAATGATTATTTATACTGTTCGCCGTTTGGAAATAATTATTATAGGTAAGATGTTAACGAATTCGATATTTTAATGTAGGTATTCTGAATGTTAAATAATTATTTGTTTCTTTAGATTCATTATGAAAAAATACTTTAAAGCCGAAGGAATTAAAACTTACAGTCTTTACTATGTTTAAAATTTTATGAAACCTTTTTTATGAAAAAAATATAGTTTAAAGACAGAGGAATTAAACTTTGTAAAGTTTCTACCGGTAAACATTCTTTTTGAATTCATAAATTATTAAAATTCGTTCTTATTAGTATCTCCATCTCACTCGTACTCACGAGTTTGACTTAAACATGGATACTGAAGTGTAAGTCGCCTTGGCCGGAAATAATTCGCGCAGCTTGGTTTACAAAGTGTGTAGACAGCTAAGGACTATCGAAATACTCTTTAAAAAGTAAACAGACCCCCCCCCCTATCCTTTTTTCGCCCACATGGACATCTGGTAGGTCATTGTCGATATAAACCACTTTGAATATCATCTCGTATAGCTTATTTAGACTAAGATTTATATGTGTATCTTCCGCACAACTTTTAATTTAAAAAAATTGTGTTAAAATTGTTGTACTAATTTCATACAATCTATTGGCTTGTTGTCTTGTTGAATAAGAAAACTATTTCGAATTATTTACAAGTTAACGGCTGTGGTTGTTCTCAGACATGAATTCCCTAGGTCCACGCTAGCCCAAGGTAGTTGTATTTAATTTTTCATGGAAAGTTATGATCTACATCTACACATTATATCTCTGTTTGTGCTTTAAGGAAATTAATTCGAGGTAGTTATTGATTTCCCAAATTCATTTATACACCTCTACATCAAAATTTGGCTTTGATAGTCATTCTTCTTAAGTATCATCCTACACCATATGATTGCGAGATTGATTGACTTTGAAACGGCCACTTTAATTTCATTTTGGAAGTGTATAACTACCAAATTGCTTTAATTTGTACTACACAGTTCATTCAATATTGATTATAATGACTGGAAGGAACATTCAAGGAAGTTATAAGGAATTGCAATAGACCACCTGTTGAATGTACTTGCTTCAGCAAAATAATATTTGAAAAATGGTTTCAACAATGCATCTGTATTAAAGAAATAATTGTTTCATGATGATTTATTGTCAAGGGTAATATAATATAGTACGTTTGAAATGCGACCATTGGGATTGCGAGTGGTGGACATTAAAAAAAAATGGAGTGCAGTCAATGGTTATTTTTTTTATACTTTTATCTGTATTTTAAATATTTTTGCCAAATTTCATTAAAATACCATTATAAATAACAAAGTTATAATTAAAAATACAAAATTCAGCCGCCATCTTGGATTTTGACTAAATTTCCTGGGCCGGAATGAATGGGAATTTTTAGTATGTTAAAATAGGCACTTCTCACACTATACCGGGTGTTCAAATTATTAAAGTGTTATAGTTAAATACCGCCGAAAATTTGCATTTTAGAAAAAAAAGTTTCAGACAAAAGTTTTATAGTATTTTGGGGGAAACATTTTGGCTAAATTCATTTTTTTATAGCCGATCATAATATGGCCATATCGAGGTGGACTTTGTTTTTTTAAATGGGAACCCCATTTTTTTACATATTCTTAAAGTACATAAAAAAATAAAAACTTTTGATGGAAATAGTTTTTTTATTCGACTTTTACTTTTTGAGTAACAGCTACTTGAAAATTTTGTTGGACGAAAAAAAAGTTGGCCATATTATGGCTAGCTATAAAAAACGATTTTAGCCAAAATTTTTTCCCCACAAAACTATAATACTTTCGTCTGAAACGTTTTTTTTATAATAGGCGGTATCTAGCTGTAACACTTTAATTTGAACACCCGGTATAATGCAAAAATAATCCTTTGTGCAATTGTGCCCAGTACAGATCATAATTTATTTTTACTACAACTTTATTAACGTATAATATCATGCAAAAAATATATAAGGATGAGATTGTTTAAATGGAGAGATCAATATCCAAAAACAGTCTATATAAAGCTATTAAAAATGATGATTATTTAAAGTGTTCTGATCGAGTTGCAAAATGCATTAAAATATCCATATTATTTGTAAAAAAATGCAAATTTTTATTTGTTTATTTGTTTTTCTTTTAGGTCTCTTCCAGTTCCAAGGCGGCACACACCTTATTTTGGTCAACCAGATTATCGGATCTATGAACTCAATAAAAGGCTACAGCAGAGAACTGAGGTAGTGAGTATTTTTTCAGATATTCCATCCAAATTATTTTTGTGTACCACACGTATACAAATATTACTTCCAAAACAGTAAGAATATAAGAAGAATGAACCACTAGTATTGGATGTAGAGTAAACTGGGATAAGAGTTAATCTGGGGCAAGTGGGAACAAAATTAAATTACAGAAATTTCCTGATCTCGGCGCCACACTTGTAGCCTTTGAAATGTATATTACCCATAAAAACATCCGTGCATTGTTGCTTCTATATTGGCTGCAGTTTTTTTTAGTTTGTTACTGTCATAGTCTTCTTTAGAAGTCATGTTCACACAGATTGGTTTTTGGTCTTGACCCCGTGATTTTTCCATGGGGACAAGTTAGAGCAAAATAGTTTTACACTTGATCCATTTGAGCGTAAAGAAGGTTAAAGTTTCAATATTTTGAGATTATTTATGAGCGTTTTCTTTCCCACTTATTGTCGAAAATAAAATAGAGCTGAATGTTTCAAAGAAAGTCTTAAAAATCCTCTATAAGATATGAAATCTGGATAAAAATTACCACACTTTATTAATTTATACGTTACACAAAAGATATAAAAATGCAAGAGGTCAGAAAAGTCGTATATATGGCAGAACTACTGTTTTTTCAGCGAAAAAATAGGAGGAAATTGCGGACAATTTAAGAAGTCTCGAAAAATAGTTATGAACTTTGGAAGGAGTGCTGGATGAGTTAAATCTTCATGATAAGCCGAATGCTGTAAGTAACATGGATAAAACTAACCTCTCCACTGTTCCGACTCGATTTAAAGTTGTTAAACAAAAGAGAAAACCATTTTCCAGGATTTTTACAGGTTCAGTAAAGGAGAATGCATCTAGTGAAAAATCTTTCCCGCCAATTTGTTTGTAACAAACAAAATAATTTATAACAAAAAATTAAAATCGCGTAACTTTGAATTCCACACGATGTAAACTGAATAATTTATAGTCTAATTATAAATTTGTGTAACACAATAATTAATAAATTTTATGGACATAATTTACTTTCATTAATGAATAAACTCGTACATTAAACTTGAAAAATCATAGCAGTATTTTATTAGGACTAAAAGCTACGTGGACATCCAAATTGCCATATTAAAGGTACCATTTCGGTAGGCGCGACAGACGACCGCCGACGCGACATACGACCGCCGACACGACCGAGAAGTGTCGCTTCACATCTAAAATACATACATTTATATGAAACACATTTCGCACGGCGCGACACAACCGAGAAGTGTCGTCCTGGAAACACTTCTTGGTGCAAAGCTTTGCTGCGTATCGCACTCGAGGTCACTGTCCTCGGCATCGCTTTTTTTTGGGGGTGATTCGGTCGGAAATTTCTTTCGATCTAGGCAGCGTTGCCAGATTTTAAAACAGTATGGGTAAAAAAAAACCGTAGATCTGAACAGTAGATTTTAATAATGGGGAAAATAATTATAATTTGCAGTGTAGTAAATAAAAAAACAAGTATATAAGAAAATAAACTTTTTTCTACCCAAATTAGAAAGTAAACAAAGAATAAAAACATTTTTAATATATACTTAACGTACGGGAAAAAAACCAATGAAAAATAATAAGTACCTACTTCTTTTAGATCAGTCTGAATTAGATAATTCAAAATTGTAGTGTTTGGCATATGCATGTTCTTTTTATAATGCCCTATTAATTCTTTGTTTCATTTTAAACCTACAGTAGTGGATGCTTATTACGCTGCTTTTACTGCAGAAAATTTACTAGAGAAAATATTCTTTAACCATTTGCTGAAGAATGAGGCAAACTTATTAAATTAAGAACAAAATTTGCTAGAGACAAAAACGGTAGATCTACGTGAAAATAGTAGGTCTGGCAACGTTGATTGTTCCCTCGAATGGTTATTCCTGTAAATGTCGCGCGACACTTCAAGCTTGCCAAATGTACGAAGCGTAAAATTTATGCACCTGTTGTCCTACTCGACCTTGGGGTCGGTTCAGTGGTCGCTTGTCGTCTGTCGCGCCTACCGAAATGGTACCTTAAAGGGTAACAAAATTTTTAGATTATATAATTCATAATTGTACAGTTATAATCGGAAAAAAAATAATTTTATAAGATTTGCTTTTCTCATTTCTTCCTACCATTTTGGCTCCTTTAATTTTTGTGGTTAGATACCAAAATCATTTGTACAATTTTGGTAATTTTTACAAATACATACACCTGCAGTATTATGTATTTTTCTTAAAAAAAGAAGATTAAAGATTAAATTCAATAAATCCAATAAATACCAATTGATTATCTACTAATATTAATTTTTATATTTCAGGATAGTGATAACCTTTGGTGGGATGCATTTGCAACGGAATTTTTCGAAGACGATGCATCTCTAACCTTAGCATTTTGTTTAGAAGATGGACCCAAACGATACAGTAAGTTTATAGGTAACAATTTAAAAAAAATTAAGTTACTCAGATTATTCAACGCTTTTACAAATTAGTTATACCTGTCTTTATAAATAATATAAATTCTTAATAGTTATTTAGGGCGTACCATTAAATTAAAGTGGCCATTCGTCCCGATTTATCACGTGTCCCAGTTTTGTTTCGCTTTTGTCCAATTAAAATAGTTTTATCCCCCTTTTGTCCGATTAAAAACGATTTTGTCCCGCTTTTAAGCCTTTTTTTTTGTTTCTCAATGAAACTTAAAAAATAGAATTTGACAACGAAAAATCTTCATACTTTTCTGCTTTGTACTTTTCAAAATATGGTCATTTTACATTAAATGATAAGGGAAAAAGTTAAAATGAGTGACTTGAATATGTCACTGCATCAGGATATCAGGAAGTAGTAGAAAATACCAATACACTAAAGGTAGAAAATAAAAAACAGACTGATAATACATTTAAAATAAAAATAAAATATTTATTGTATGCTTTATGATATAGACAAGAGTTATACATTTCAGCTAATTCCTTTTTCCACAAAAATATTTCTTATTCTTTAGAATACTGCACTGGTGTCTCCTCTTCTGATTATTATTCTGATAATAGCCTGAAAACTCAATACCATCGTTTATAAAATAAGTAGTTAGGTTACTCCTGACTGGGGCCTTTGATCTTCTTTGAACATTATTTTGCCGACGAACTCCCGGGAAATAATTGTTGGCCCTTTCTCTTATGAACCATATGAACAGTGATAGAGCCAACATCGTCTGCTTGAAACCTTTTTTTGTTTGATGGGTTTGATTTAATCGCGATTTAGCTAAATTACTTTAAAAATATATATACGAATTATCTTATTTGCAGCTATTGGAAGGACGTTAATTCCAAGGTACTTTAGGAGTATATTTGAAGGTGGAGTGACTGAATTGTATTATAATATGAAACACCCTAAGGAGTCCTTCCACAATACTAGTATTACTCTGGACTGTGATCAGTGCACTATGATAACACATCATGGTAAACCTCTATTTACTAAGGTGAGTGAATTTTTTAAATGGAGAATCCTTTAGAACGAAGAATTGTTGTCAAGCAGAACTAAATATCTTATTTTTTGTTACTAGGTGTGTACAGAGGGCCGCTTAATTCTAGAATTTACTTTTGATGATTTAATGAGGATAAAATCGTGGCATTTCGCCGTTCGAACACATCGAGAGTTGATCCCAAGAACGGTAGTTGGCATGCATTCCCAGCAGGATCCGAATATGTTAGACCAATTGTCAAAAAACATTACGAGGCAGGGCATCACGAATTCTACGCTTAATTATTTGAGGGTGAGTATATCATCAGAATTAACATTATCTGTTGAATAAGGTGATTTAAAAATATGTTTAAAAATATCATATAAATGGTCTTTATGTTGTTGAACAGTTTGAGCCAAGATATATCCAAGCAGGGAAAATAAAAATATGAATACACACTTTTGAACAACATAAGGTAACTGCACCAATAATTGACACTATTAGACGCTGATTTGTATTAAATAATTATTTTCACCAATAACAAAAAAATTTAAGCATATAATACGATTTTTTCTTGTATTATTTTCTTGAGTTCATGTATTTTTAGTTCTAATAATTTTGCTTTTCATGAAATAAATATTATAAAAAAAGTGTTTTGAAGTACCAGTCATTGACAATTGATTTTTTTGTCTTCATGTACCAGTAATTGACACACCAATTATTGACACAAATTAAGGAACATTTTTTTATTATACTTTTAATTTTGAATATACTAAGTAAATAAAAATAAACAGCAAATTCATAACACAAAAAATAAAAACAAAATAAGAAAATTTATGGGTGCTTTAGGCTTCAAAAATATCAATATTTTTTGAAAATACATATTTTATTCTGTCGCCGACATTGTGTAGTTCCGGTTGGGATAACTTTTTTATGATATCCTTTATCTTGATTGTTAAAATATCAATATCAACAAATTTGAAGGTATTCGTTTCATTTGTTGATTTAAGGAATATAACTTCAATATCGTTTCGGGAATATTTCTTCTGAACCACACAGATATACCTATAAAAAAAGTTTTTCTTTCCTCCTAAGAATTTCGCTAGAATAACTCCTACATGGATATCGTCATATTTGATTGGTATTTCATTCTCTTCTTCATTTTCTAAATTGATACTGACATCATCAATACTGTCTCCACTTTCTATCCATTCTTCGTTTTCGAATGAATTGTTAGAACTTTCCCTCTTTACTGACAGCCTTGTTTTGTAATTTTTTAATTTTTTCTTCCCTTTTTCGCTTTTTCTCTTCTGCCTGTTTTTGTTGTTCTTCTTGTTTTCTCTTTTTCTCAGAATCCTCTTTTATGTGGTATTTTTGCCAAATTTCTGACGTAATATCACAAGGAATTTGCTCTTTATTCTTTTTTTTTGCGTTTTTTACTTCTTCCGGGCAAAACAAGGCTTTTTTAAATGGAGTGGGAACTTGTTTCTTTAAAGATAATACATTGAACGGCGTTGTATTTTCCAATGAATTTAAAGGAAATCTATCACTTTGTGATACATTAGGAGGTGTAATATTGACATCAGAATGTATAACAATTTTTAATGGGGTCATATCAGAATCAACTCTTTGTTGTTGAAGGCCGGAAGATCCTGGTCTCGAGTTGTCTAATATGTTTTCTACAAGATCATTTTCTTTCTTGTTGCAATTTTGGTTCTCACTTTTATTTATGTTTTCTAATGGTTCAACACCTAAAGTGGATTCTATTTTAATTTTTTTTTTTTTCATTGTGTTCCATACATTAAATAGTGACACGTCTTCCATATTACCTGTCCATGTAGTATCAAAATTTTCTGAGGGAATAAATTTTTCCAAAACTGACAACCCTTCTATTATTCTGGTTTGATTAACTTCTGTCGACGAGTTTGAAATTTTTAAAAATTTTACATTTTCAACATTAAACGGCGAAAGTCCACATGCCCTAAATCCAAGTTGAATTGTTTTATCTGTAACTTTGGATAACGCTTTCTCAAACACTTTTCCGAAATTTTCTTTTCGCAATATTTTGCCGTGATTTTCGATATGCCAATCTCTTATAGATTTTTTCCAAAATTGTTTTAGCGGCTTGAATACAGCCACATCCATAGGTTGAATTAAATGTGTAGAGTTTGGATTTTGATAGGTGTAATGTCATATGCGACACATGACCCTCAATAAACATAATAATAGGTTTCTCATTTTTTTTCTCATCTAGCCATGGTACAAACACATTTGTTATGTATTCAAAAAAAGTTGCTCCACACATCCATCCACTTTCGGAACGGCCTATTCCCCAACTTTTATTGATACTGACAGCTACATGACTTGGAATGCATTCATATTTAAACACCACTATGGGAGGAGCTAGTGTCTCAGCTGCATTGGCAGTGACTAATACAGTTAAATTTTCTTTCTCGGCGTTGGTTCCAGCATTGTACGCGCTTTTATCCCTGTCTCTGTCTAGTCCTTCCACATTTGTTGGAGTCAGCAGCTGTTTTCTTTTGATTTTTTATAATATTGGGATTGGCCTCAATATACTCCAGTAGGACTTGCTTTTGGGCCTTAGAGAGTTCCTTTTTCACTGCGTTCATTTTTAATGATGAATTAATATTTATATTGTCAAAATGACGTTCAAATACTAACCTTGTTATTTGGACCAATCAACATTTACGACTTATAATTACGACAAAAATGAAAATCACTTGCGAATAGCAAAATGGTCTAGCATTAGAGAATACCATAATCGCATGCTTGTCGTTTTGGTAATCAAAGTTTGTTGAGAAGTCCGCTTGGCGCTTTCGTTGCTATACGTTTTCGACTGAAATTTAGAGAATAACCCCCCTGGTCTCGAATCAGTGAAAGGGTTTGGTCGTTTACTTTCTTTAACGATAAACTGGACACTGTCTAGTAATTTCTCTTTGCCTACTGGATGGTGCACTTTTGCTACAGAAAGTATCCACTGTTCGACAAGAGTTTCTTCATTGCTTGTGAGGATGGTACTTGGTCCCATTCGGCAATGTTTAGGTAGCTTTCCTGTTGATTTATAAAGTAACGTTGTTAGTGGAACAAAGTAAGTTTTAGCAGCTGTAGCTACTGGCATTCCTGTTGCTATAGCAGCAAGAGCTTCATCCAACTGAGCCTCTGCATTATTTTTTTTTAGGTGGCATAACTGTAATAAAAAACGTGTTCCAGTTATTGACACTTCTTGTACCAATAATTGACACCCCTGTCAAAGACTGAAACCAAAAGGATGTTAGATCTCATATTTAAATGGTATATTGCAGACTTTTTAGACAGTATGACAACAGTGTATATCAGTATTTGCTTGTGGACCAGTGATTGACAGGGTATGTTAATAACTGGAACATACTGGTTTTGTTTGTTCCAATTATTGACACTTTAACAAAAATGAGGTTTTAGGATTTACATGCATAAAAACCAGTAAAAACCCATCAGTGTTGTATAATACACCCCCATGAATAGTTTAAATAAATTTAACATGAAGTGATAAGAAGTAGATATATTCAATTTAGTACACTGACCTTATGAAATGTCTTAACATAAACACCCTATCACTGCACGTGCTCTTTTCGCCATTTTGAAACTGACCGTGGTGCCACCTAACATCTGTTACGTAGGCTACACGTTTGTCAAATATTCTAAAAATACCGATGTTTAAGATAAATTTCTCATATACAGGGTGTTTTTTTAATATTGCGAAAAAATTCAGAGGCGTGTCCCTTGGACGGAATGAAGCAAAGAAGTTCCTATAAACATATTTCGTACGCCTCTTAGATTTTGAACTATATGGTGGTAAAGTTATAATAAAAAACTTATTTTTTGCGATACATTTAATATCCCTGTAGATATTTTTCTGAAAATTGGTACGCAGTTTCTATGCATCCAAAGCCATTTTCCGATACACAATTTAAACTTTTACATTCGCCATTGGCGTTCATGCGGGCTTTGAACTGAATATTTCTTAAAAGAAAAAAAAACGGTACGCCACTGGTTTTTCTTGTAATAAAAAACATTTTTGAATTCTTTATTTCTTTTATAGCATATCTGATCTGTGGGTCTTTTTTCGCTTGATGCATGGTGTTCGCATAAAAAAATAAAAACCATTTTCCTGCACTGCCCTTTTGTTAAAATTTAATTTTTTAATTTAATAGTAATTACTGTATTTTTTATTTAGAGAAAAATAATGCATTGCAATTAAAGATCCTTGAGTTTGAGAGAAGCATTTTTTGTGAAGTTACTTTTAAGTTTTTTCTCTTACTACGCTGTAGTTCAAAATCTAAGAGACGTAGGACATATGTTCATAGCAACTTTTTTGCTTCATTTCATCCAAGGGACACACCTCTGAATTTTTTCGCAATATTAAAAAAACACCCTGTATAGTCTAATGTTCTTATTTTTGAAGAATAATTGAGCAAGTGTCAATTACTGGAACACTGTCAATTATTGGTGCAGTTACCTTACTCCTGCTTTTTAAATTTGGTTTACTGTTGAACAATTTTTGACCTCATAATTTTTTTTGGTTTTAGTTATGTGTGATATTAGAACCTATGCAGGAGCTTATGTCTAGACATAAGGCATACGCTTTAAGTCCCAGGGACTGCTTGAAAACGACGTTATTTCAGAAATGGCAAAGGATGGTTGCGCCGCCGGGTAAGAGAGGTACCAATTTTATTGCACTATAGGATTATTCATTTTTGCTTTACCGTTTCTATTCTAATATTTTTTTTACTACTAAATAAGCGACTAACTGAAGGTCCCTTTTATTTAGAAATACTTAAATTGATAATTTGAATTACATTGTTTGGAAAATAGTTTTATATTTTTAATATTATTGAACCCCCCTACCTATAGAGGGCTGTATTGCTGTCATTATGAATAACATGCAGGATGGCGATAACGATGATATTTACATGAGTTTTAATGAACTCCAAGAATGTAACTCGTATCAGAAGTTGATTTTAGGATTGAAAGGGTAAACATACCAAATATTTTTATATTAATATTTTTTTTTTTACTAATAAATTGGAAGCAATGTAAAAACAAATTATCTATATTATAATTAAAACCTATAAAGCTGCTTTTTTATATTATATATATATATACAAAGTTACCTTTGGTTGAAATGGGTTTGTGTGTAGCAAAAATGAAAAAAATCCTGACAAAACCAGCGAATGCACGTGTTTAAAATTTATCAAATCGCTCCTAAAACCATATTGTTAATTAAGTATGTTCATACAGAATCCCAGAGGCCGGCAAATAAAAGACGGAAACGGAAAGGTTCCAATTCAGGAGGAGCGGCCAACAATACCACGCCAGCACCAAACAAAAAAAGATCTCCAGGGCCTAATTTTTCCTTAGCCTCACAGGTATAAATTAATATTTATATAATTATAACTTACATTTAAGGTTTCAACATAGTATTTTATTTAATTATGTATTGTTTTCATCATATACAATTGGCATATTCTATTTTCCTCACCTACAGTACGACAGATATAGCTGAAGCCGCCAAGGAGCTCAGTTCGTTCCAGTCTTTCGAGGTGATCATTTGGATCTTAATACATTATAGTCGAAGTTGTTAATTTTGAAACATTGCTAAATATAAATTTCTTCTTGTTCTGATCACCATTCTAATTCCTACTTAAATGATTGTAAGTGCTTTCTGAATATTCTGAATTAATTGTTGAATTATGTTCATGATATTGAAAAACCTATTGCACCTATGTATTCCTAAGTTGAATTGAACGACATTGATGAGACATTTGACAGGAAGTAACTTTTATTCTAATACATTCACAAAAAAGAAATGTATTATTTGTTGACAAGAAAAATCTCTTCTAGCAATTTAAACTACAAACATTGGATTATTGGAAATTAACACGTTAAGCGCCATGAGGTGTAATGCACATGTCTCATCTCATTTGGCACTTTGGGCCTCGCGATGCACATGCTACGTCTCACTGCAGACAGATTTATTTGGCCCAGTACAGGGCCGACAAGAGGGGGGGGCAGCCGGGACTAATTCCCGGGGCCCGGGCCTTGGAATCTTAGCAAGGATTTTCTTTCAGAAGTTCGGCACAAGAAAAGAGGGAGATTTTTAGCTTGGGGACCTTTTTTTTTAGAGAAATTTAAGTAAAGAGGAGGATACATTTTTTATAAAATTGTCACGGGGCCCGATCGCATATTTACACATCCTCCTATATGACGGCACCGGAGTGCTGAAATCTGTTCGCCTTTGTAGCCTACAAGTACGCTACAAAACCTCATTGATTTAGGTACCCATACAAATTTTATGTTATGTGAGACTTTTCTTTTCAATTTTAGCTGTGTCCAGGCCGTTGGCGTCTATGCCGGTAGGCGTAGGCAGGTAGGGGTCAAAATTTTTTGGTGGCGGCGAAGCCGCCACCCTACGAGAAGTCATTGCTTCGTTTTCTTCTTGTATATTTTCTTTTTTTCTAATCCCAAAATACTTCAAATGTCAAATGTCTATTAACGGCATTTTAGTACACGACCGTTTAACGACAGTTTAAGTACAGCCATTGTTTCATAGAATACAGATAAGCTTGCTTACTGATTCCAGCAATAAGAGAGGCCTCATGCATTGGTGCCTAAATCAATGAGCTTTTGTAGCGTTACAAAGGCGAACAGATTTCAGCACTCCGGTGCCGTCATATAGGAGGATGTGTAAATATGCGGCCCGATCTGGAGAATTGTCCTGAGGCCCGACCTGGCTCTCGGCGGCCTTGGCCCGGTGGACTGGATTTTCAGATTCCACTGAGGCGTTTAACGTGTTAAGAGCTAGAAAATGAATAGAGGACGTCCAGTAAGAGGAGAAAAAACAATTATTGTTGGCCTATACTCAAACAAATATTGATTGAGAGTGAACCGTGTTGTCATATCTCAATTTTACCTTACTAGTTTTTAGCAGAATCAAAATAGAGTAAGTAGTAGAGTTGTAAGTTGTGGCAAATTATAGATAATATACAATCATAGTACTAATAAAAGATATTAATTATAACAAAAATCAGTAATGAGTAATACTTATACATTTCTTGATCATTTAAAATTAATTATTTTATGGATTGTTAAGTATTTGTTACAACTAATGGCATCGGTGTACGGAGCGATATTTGTGTCTTTGTCTGTTACGCGTAAAATCCATCTCGTCGATGACGTTCTCAGTAGTGTATTTCTAACCACGAGCGTAACATCGGGTTTTGAATTATTAAATTAAAAACTAAATATAATATAAAAAGATTAAAAAATATAAAAATTTAAAAATAACTAAACAAAACAAAATAAAAATATCAATTGCATTGGATATGCAATATCCGTCATTATGATTTTAATTTAAAATTTAAGTAATACTTCTGTATGTGTAACCCAAGAAGAAACTTAAGAGACAGTTCCTTACTTACTTCGGCCGCGACATAATATATAAATATACGTTAATTTGTGAAATAAAGTTAAATTCATTATTAAAATAGTAAAATTGATAATATTGTTTCTGTCACCAAACCAACCCCTGATTAGGTATCTTTCTTATTTTTAATTTGAAATATATATTGTGATTTTTATTAATATTCTTAATTTATTTGGTTTCTACTATAATTACCACAATTATTACTCCGTTTTCATAAAGCCCCACTAATGACTACAACGATTAGGTAAATTACGATATTGCAAAGTTTTCATGAAATAAATAAAAGAAATTGTACGAATATTTTAAATAATTGTACCTTCTCAAAAATAATAAGCACGCCTCTGATTTGGTCGTATTTCTACCTGCTTTCACTCTCAATCATTATTTGTTTGAGTTTAGTTATGCCAATGAGAATAAATGTAGCCTTAAATTGAAACAATCAGAAGGAAAAAAAGTAGGATCAGGGAACATGAAAAGAATGGGATTAGGAACAAGAGAAAGGAACAATCAATAAGAAAATCTTCATTTATTTGTTTTAAGCTTGAAGCAAATTAATATAAAAAATATATTATACTCTTCACAGTTTAACCGACCCTCCTTCCCTCATTTTCAATTAGATTTTTTTTTCAAATTCAATTTGATATCGTTTTTTGTTTTTGAAATGGTATTTTTTTTTTTTTTAATTTTTAGCCTCCATTTTTATTCAGATTTTTTTCAGATTTATAATCTTTCCCTTATAGAGCTTGATTTTACTAAACATTTCATTCTTTTGGGTTTTTATTTTCATTTTTTTTATTTTAAAATGGAGGTACATTTTATTGTTTTTTTTTTATTCAATAAGCTTTGCTAAAAATTTAAAGTCGACATTATTTTTCATTATTGTTAAGACTTTTTTTAAATAGTTCAATCCCCAGTTACCCCCCATTTTATTCAGATTTTCTACAAAATCAATAGGCTTCATTTCCATATACTTAGCTTGATTTTTACTAAACATTAATGTTGATATCTTATTCAATTTTAAGTTAGGAATATTTTTTTATTATTTCAACCCCCATTTTATTCAGATTTTTTTTTTTTTTTTTTTTTCATAATCAATTGGCTTCATCTTCTTATAAAGCATGTAGATGGCAAGCCTCTACCATTACTTTAATATCTCTGGTCTGTTTAATTTCATAGGAATTCCAATCTATGTCTTTGGCATTTAAGGTTAATATAAAAATTTTGAAATCTTCTTGTTTAGTTGTAATAATAAATTGGTTATTGCTTAGTTGTGGCTTGAAAGGAAATATTATTTTCTGCCAGTGTATTGGCGCAATTCTTCATACATATTACTTTCACTGTTTTTTCGACTATTTGTTAAATTGATTTAAATTTTTGTAATTTTCAGGACGTAATGGTTGTGGGTGAACCTTCGTTAATGGGGGGCGAATTCGGAGATGAGGACGAGCGACTCATAACCAGGCTAGAGAATACCCAGTACGACGCTGCTAATTCTTTAGACCATGACAACCACGGCTTCCATGCTGACTCACCTATGCCAGGATCCAATTCGTGGGGAGCGGGAGTGGGCGATAGGGGGGGACCGGGGGTCAGTGCCTCGCAAGGAAATACCCCATCCAACCAGGACTCTGATAAAAAATCCCCCGCAGTGAGCCAGTGATAATAGTTCATTATTATAAACTGTAGAATCTCCGAGTCAGTATTTTTAATGTACTTCAAGTATTTGAGTGACTGGTTTGAATTATTAAAAAAAAAATCTATATCAATTAACGTTTTAAATCGTCATTAAGTGATTATTAAATAATGAATATTACCTATTATATTTTAATCTCATTTAATTTCGATATGTCTGTATGATTATTTTCGTTTTTTTTTTTTTTTTTTTGTATATAAAAATATATCAACAAAATTTTACCAATTCCGTTTTAAAATAAACGTTTAATTTATTTAATTATTATAAAATATATTTTATATTGAAATTAAATGAGTACAGAATTTAAATTACTAATTAAAGTTGTTTGGTTATAAATGATTGTTATATAACTTGAATTCTAGAATTTGTTTAGATATTTTGACCGTAAACAATTAATTTTAAAAATTTGGTTATGTTTATCGATTTTCCCAATAGAATTAGATAAAGACGCAGTACAAATTTAACTAAATTTTATGCAAGACTGGCGAATACAATCTTTAATAGCGTTTTTTCTATATGTTTCTTCTGGTTTTTGTTTATACCTCAATAACTATTTAAATGCCACTGTTATCTTATTGATTGAGGGAATAGTAAAGGGTCTATTGACTCGGGGCATCTTGGATGTTTATTCATAAACTCATTATCAACAAATTAATATAATAATTTGTTACAGTCCGTCACTATTTGCCACCTCCAAACTTTCGAACGTTTTTTGTTGTAGGTATATTCCCCCGTATTTTTCGATTAAGGTAAAAGCTAACTGGAAAGACTGAAGTGGTTTTGCGGGTCTCCAAATTAGAATGTTTTACGACTCCCAAAGATGTTCAATATGGCTTGATTCAGGATTTAACGAAGGCTTATCTGTGGTATTGAAGGTATCGAAGGAAGTTCATATTAATCATTCCTGATTTTCCCACAATAATATTATCTTATTGCGGTTTTTAACACCTTTTTCTTGGTATTTTGCTAGTGGTTTAAGTTTGTATTGCTTTGGGGTAAACCACTAAGGTCAAAACGTAAAAAAAAAACATTAAAATTAGTATTATATGGGGAAATCGACCATAATTTTAAATAATTTTGGAAATTGCACTTAATTTTATACGATTTTGCAAAAATCATATATATTTTTTTCTATGAATGGTCAAGAATTTATTTATATTTTGTTTCTTTTGAAATTTTCGTAATTTGTAAGGACACAACAAAATTTTTTCATTAAAAAATTCTTCTATTTCGTGGTATTTGGTAAGATGAAGTCAAATCTGTTTTTAAAATGTATATTTTAACAATCAAAACGATTTTTGTTCATTTTTCAACACCTAAATAGTGATTTCGGTGATAATTTGGGGGATTTTAAGAGAATTTGTAGCAATTTCGTTTATTTCAAATGAATGGTTTAGCTCTCGAACTTTCTCTACTTAATTTACACCTTCTTTAGTGCTTATAATTATTATAGAATGGAATAAATGCATATAAATGTATTCATAATATTGCTGCTTGGCACTGATAGTCACACAACTTGAAAAAAAAACAAAACCCTTCTACTACACAGAAATGTTCTGCATTGTATATAATACGTCACATCTAACAATTAGCAGAATATCTACGATATTCTCGCGCAAAATTTTATCAAGTAAACTGAATTAAAATTACAGGCTAAAAATCTAAATATTTTATAATCGTTAGGAAGATTATTTTGAAAAAATTGCTGGGAGTTTTAAAACCGTTGTATTGCATTGTAGGTACTTTATTTGTGGAAATACTAATACCCTTAAGTAGGTAAATACCTAATACTGCTCTAGTTAAATGCTAAATTTGTATATTGTAGTGAAAATCCCTACCTAATATACACAGTAATTCATATAAACGCATATTATTTTTGTTTTTATATGTTTAGCATCTTGTTTTTAAGAATAAGTGTAAAAAAGGTCGGTCTATAGTGATGTGTATGTGTAATTTTGCCTTTGAATTATTAGAATATAAATACGAGTTTAAAATATGTATCAAATTTGTATACCACTGGCATTTAAAAAATTATTGAGATACAAACAAATGTTCCTCTAAATCTTTTGACCAAAAAAACCTATAATGGACCATTTAATCTTTGGAGCCAAAATTATTTTATTTTTTTTTAATCTGTATTCAAAGCAAGATGTATATCAGAAAAGACACATGTTGCTCTGAAAACAGATTAAAACAAAACATAGTTTTGTCTTTAAAGACTGGGGCGGTATCAGTTGCCCACCCTGTATAACCAACCCCATAAAATCAGTAGTCAATTTTGCGATTTCTTTCATTTTATAGAAAAAACGCCATTGAAGCGATGTGCTTTTAAAAATTTTAAATCAAATAAATACATTCAACAATTTTATTTAGATTTTAACTGTAAATAGTTTTTGAATTGAACCCTGAATGGAAATAAATAAAAAACTATGGATGTAAAAAGAGGTTTAGGAGATATTTGTAAATTTTATATGAGAAAAATACTTGAAGTATAAAACCGAGATAGCCAGTGACATTTAATTGTTTTACATAATTTAATTTTTTCTATCAAAAAAATTAAACAAGTGCAAGAAGATTTTTAGGAGTGAGATAAGACAGCGTGCTGAGAGTGATAATACTAGAAATTGATACTTGATTGTGCTGACAATGCTAAAATGAACTATAAAGACGGATGTTTTAGTGTTGACACTACAAGCAGGGGTCCTCTATTTGCACCCGAAATAGTGCAATTTAAAATAAAAAAAAATGGTTTCTTTTGGAACCGCCACCATATGTACCTCTACAGAATGAATGTGACTGGTTTTGAATGGCAGCTCATTTTGTACAGTAGTTTAAAACATCACACTGTATGTTGTTTGTGTTCCGAAAAAACACATTTCCACACACAGAAAATTGTCCAGGTATATTGTGTAAGATTAGAACTAATTAAATTAATATGGTGAAATTCTGTTGTCTTTTTGTTCATCGAATTTACTTCAAGCATTGAAACTATTAGATAATTGGTATATATGTAATATAATATTTTATATTTACTTCTTATTTATTCGTTGTAGTCATCCTTCAAATGTCCCTATTTAAGAGATTTATTTTAAACAACGGTCAAATGTGCACTACTATGAAGAGTTTATATTGGATAAAGACAGCTTTGGAGAAATATTGGTTGTGTTAGCTCTGTTGGAAGAGAAAATAAGTGTGGTTCATTATTACAGCAATATATCAAATATGGAGTCAATTTCTGCTTGATGGGTCTATGGACAACAGGTAAAAAACAATCAGAAACAACAATGCTAGAAATATATGAAATATTGCGCTCCTATATTATACTCCAATCCTGTGAGAAAATTACTACAAAAAAAATTGTAACCTTCCTTCTTAATTTTTGTTTAAGCCCTTGAATATGAGCTGCAAGATGAAGTGCTTAGACTCATTTTAAAAATACATTATGCACTTTTGCTTTTTTTTTTCTTGTACATAATTTAATTTTGAATGTGAAGTATATTTTGTGGTAAGCAAAATAATTATTGAGGAATATTTTCAGCAATAATTATTATTTACCGTTCATTCTTTTTTTGTTAGAAAGGGGGTACCTTAGAGGTGGTCCTATATAAATTTGGTCAAGATCTGGTCATGGGATACATGATAAAATAGTCACTCTTCATTTTTGGAATTGGTTTTTTAAATTATCCTTATTTATGACTTATTTATTTAATTCTTTCTACCATTAGGTTGTAATACGATGGCCAATGGAATCTCCCAGTATACCTGATCCATGTCAAGTTTTAAAGCAAAAGAAATAAACACAAATATTATCTTAATTACTACTACAAGAGAATCCAGATATTTTTTGAATTTTATTTTAATAATTTTTTAGAAAAAAATAGGAACAAAATACTTATTTGTGTTATTTGACTAAATTCTGGCAAGAAGTTTATTTTTTGATTGATCAGTTTATTTAATTATATATTCAAAAGTCTTATGAGAAAATTTTTAAACCAGATATGCTCGAGTCCAAAGATGAGTCTTTACTATTAGATAATGGTAAATTGGATAAAAATGCAGGAATTTTCCAAATAAGAAGCGACATTGTTTTCTAGTGGTAAGTTTTTAATTTTTATTTTATATGCAATTCATTGTTGTTTTGAGATTTATTCAATATTGTTCTTTATAAGAAATTAAAAGACTTTCAATATTTTGGGACCATCTAACGACTTTTTTTGTTCATTTAATGTCTTAACTATAACTACTAGTATCATTGTGTTTTCTGAGGTTTATTATTATAGGCTTTATTAAGTTTTCCTTTGCTATATCCACTTTTCAAAATTAATTTTCCACCTTTTACATCTGAAACTGTCTTCAAAAACAAATTTTGCACATCAAGTAATTTAAATGTTGTATTTTTTCGAGAAACATAACCTTTTAATTGTGATCAGATCAGTTCAATGGGATTTAACTCTGTGCGGTAAGGAGGCAATCTGAGAATTTCAATTCCTCATCTTGTTGCAGTGTTGCCAACCGGAGGGAAATTTCTCGATTTGCGGAAATTTTTAACACAAAAGGAAAAAAGTTAATTCAAAATTTTTATGAATATGTGCTTTTTTTAAATTTTCCAATTTTCATATATAAATTGCAAATGTATGTTTTCTTGAATTCTTTCTTTAACAGAAAAAGCTTTAAGATACTGTATACCTGATGGATTCTTTTTTAATCAAAAAGTTTTACTATTCTCTTGCTATATCCATTATTATAACGCTAAATAAAATATTTATGATTTCAGAAACAGAAGTTTGATCATCCAGCAGTAATATTATTGTGCAGAGCACCTGTAAGAGTGTTAAAAGCAACCAGGAGAAAAATATCATATTCCACACACTAAATGAATTGATGTAGATGACATCGCCATAATTTAATTTTAATTAAGTCATGCAATAACTTTGATAACACGAATTACAATTTTTCTGATTATTTAAAGGCATATCTGTTTGCTAGACTAATTGAAATGATTTTGTTGAATAATATTTATTAAGTTACAAGTATTTAAACATTTTTTTTATTGACTTAATTTTTTTATTAAATTATATTTTATATATTTAGGCTTTTATTATGTACTTTTCATAGATTAAACATTTCTTTAATAAACTTGTTTTTTATTTCATATTTTAAAACGGATAAAAAATGGCTGACAAAATTTGCATAGGCCATCTATTAGCGAGTAGCTAAAACTATAGAGAAGGTTAATAGAGGGTTTTCCTAAATATAGGCAACCATCATTACAAACTGGTGTATTATGTGTTGCCTATCAAATGAATTTAGAGAATAATTATTCAGTAGCAGAATATTTAAAAAATAGTTAAAATCATGGAGATTTCTCATGTTTTCATTAAAATTTTGATACCAGGCTAACAGAAAAGCGAGTAGGTATAGGTTTTTAAAATAGGGCAAAATGAATAACATTTAAACGACTCAAGATAGAGACAAGGAACAAAGAGCATTTTAATTTCTAATCTATCGGCTCAGCTCTATATTTGTATGAATTTAAAGAATAATTTGACCCTCAGACAAGGTATTTGACTTATTTTTAAATGTGGATGACTACTAAGCTCAAGATAGAGGCAAGCAGCAAAGGGCATTTTAAACGATCCGTCCGGCTCTACCTTTATGTAAATTTATGGAATAATTCGATCATTACTGAGGAATTAACAAAAAAAAGTTAAACCTTATTAGCTAGGGAGCAACTGAGTTCGCCCCTTAATTGCTCGTGCTTTCTTTTATATGTACTCCAATTTTCATCAAGATGGGAGACAAAAAAATTTTTGTCAAAAAATTTGGATGGCTATTTTTTTGAAAAAATAAAAAATTGTTTAAATTACATACGGATACAGGGTCACATGTAGATCTCAAAAATACACTCAGTTTTTTTCTAACATCAATATTAAAAAAGTTGTGGCAAAAATAAAAATTTTCGATATCTCCTCGCGTTTCTATTATCCTGATACAAAGTTACAAATTCGAAAAGATCCAATTTTGTCTACAAAATTTTGGTACCAGGATAGCAGAAATGCGACAAGGTATTTGACTTATTTTTAAATGTGAATAACTACTAAACGGTTCAAGATAGAGGCAAGCGGCAAAGGGCATTTTAAACTATCCGCCCGTCTCTACCTTTATGAGAATTTATGGAATAATTCGATCACTATTAACTGAGGAATTAAGAAAAAAAAGTTAACCCTTATAGATAGAGCGCAACTGAGTTCATCCCTTAATTGTTCGTGCTTTTTTTTATATATACCCCAATTTTCATCAAGATCGGAGACAAAAAAATTTTTTGTCAAAAAATTTTGAAGGCTATACCCTTTCGAGTTTTTTGAAAAAATAAAAAACAATTTAAATTTGCGTACAGATAGACGGTCACATGTAGATCTCAAAAATATACTCAGTTTTTTTCTAGCAGCAATATTTAAAAAGATATAAGCAAAAATAAAAATTTTTCGATATCTCCTCGCGTTTCTATTATCCTGATACAAAGTTCCAAATTAGAAAAGATCCAATTTTGTCTACAAAATTTTGGTACCAGGATAGCAGAAACGCGACAAGGTATTTGACTTATTTTTAAATGTGAATAACTACTAAACGGTTCAAGATAGAGGCAAGCGGCAAAGGGCATTTTAAACTATCCGCCCGTCTCTACCTTTATGAGAATTTATGGAATAATTCGATCATTATTAACTGAGGAATTAAGAAAAAAAAGTTAACCCTTATAGATAGAGTGCAACTGAGTTCATCCCTTAATTGTTCGTGCTTTCCTTTATATATACCCCAATTTTTATCAAGATCGGAGACAAAAAAATTTTTTGTCAAAAAATTTGGAAGGCTATACCCTTTCGATTTTTTTGAAAAAATAAAAAACAATTTAAATTTGCGTACAGATAGACGGTCACATGTAGATCTCAAAAATATACTCAGTTTTTTTCTAGCAGCAATATTTAAAAAGATATAAGCAAAAATAAAAATTTTCGATATCTCCTCGCGTTTCTATTATCCTGATACAAAGTTCCGAATTCGAAAAGATCCAATTTTGTCTACAAAATTTTGGTATCAGGATAGCAGAAACGCGACAAGGTATTTTAAAGATCTGAGCAAAAATAAAAATTTTCCGTACCACAAAATATTGTCATAAAATGCGACTTTTTAAAAAAATTCCAACCCTTTTTCAAATGCACTTCTGTTATCCTGATACAAAGTTCCGAATTCGATATGATTAAATTTTGCTCATTTTAGAAAAAATAAATATCTGCATACGCATAGAATGCACCAGTCGAAGTCAATTTTTTATCCGTTAGTTGACAGGCAACACAGAATACACCAGTGCGTAATCATGGTTGCCTACTAGTTAATATCGGAATTTTTTTAGCTAATAGATGGCGTTTGTACATCCTGCCCGCCATTTATGATCCACCTTTTTACATTTTTTAATTGATACTTTGGGCTTTGAAATAGATTTATTTAAGAAATAAAAACAAAGAAGTCGATTAACGATGTTTATTTGTGAAAAATACATAATCTAATACATAATAAAAGCATAATTAATAATGACACAGAAATTGTACATTTAAATATAAACATACACAATAAAGAGACCCTGCTTTGTTTGTATGAATAGTAAATAATGACGTTCAGACATGCATGGACAAGAAATGATGCAGTATCAATGTTGTCATTCACAGGTAGTCATCAGTCGGTAGTGAGTTACAATTCTGGTCACTGGCACGCATTATTTCCTCTCTTGCACATGCGAACGGCAACATAAACAAAAAAACTATCTTTCTTTGAGTTCTTTCCTTACACATTTGTCTAAATTGCTTAGTTTCTTCCAACAAATCGGTGCTTTCCTTAGCTTTGTGATGATGGTTTCAGTAACTACCTGGTCTTAGTACTGCTAAAACAGAAATATACTTTTCTGATAGGATCTTTTACAAATTTTTATATTGTTTTATATACATGTGTGATAAAATTTATTTTAGTGCTTACAGAAACGACTACAAATACGCTAATGAACTATGGGCTAAAATAGACATCACTTTCAGACCAGGTGTAAGTTGAGACACAGTTCGATAAGGACTACCCAAGTTTCTGTGAAACAGAAATAAATAACACAGTGAATGTTCATAGGCAGTGTGAAGTGACTCAGTTTGTATTGATTTCTGTGTTCCACAGATACAGTGAGTTGCCTAACGAAACTGCATCTTGGACCTAGCCTAAAAGAATAAATAAATAGGCATTTATCATAAATCTGTTAGTATGATTGTTACCAAAATATGACTACATTATCTTAATAATGAACTGTGAACATGAAACTGCTAGAACAAAGCTCTCTTATATTTAGTACTTACTTTGTTTGTGCACTGCTATTTTGCAAGAATCATAGGGCGATTTTGTAGAATTTGTGACTTCATTCTTATAACAGATAATCCTTATCATCTAGTTTTTCCTTCTCTAGATTCTTGATCAAGTTAGATTAGATGATAATATAAGGCAAATATCAAATCCCAAAATGGAGGACTATAAAAATAAAGATATATGAATTTACATAAACTACAAGATTAGTTGAAATTGTTACAAACTGATACTATATTTATTGCAAGAGCTTCATTTACAAAAGTTTAAAATTTTGAATTTTCAAATGAAAAGAATCTGTCAAATGTCACTCTTCTTCTTTATCATGATAAAATTACTGACCTCTTTCTTAAAGAAAGTTGGCCATTATTCACTGGCCTAGTTTAATCGATAATTTGGTCACATTTTTTTTAGACTAATTATTCTGTGAGATAAAGGACAACGCATATGATAATAAAAAAAGAAGAAATAGGCCACAAAATTTCAAAAGTATAGAAGAAAGAAAATAACCTATTTTAAATTTTTTGAAATTTATTAAAATAATCAATTTTCATTCGTTTTAAATATTTTTCTTCAGAAATAATTACATATGTTAAACGAACCCAATCCAAGAATATCAAAACCATATTGACAAAGCAGTAAAAATAAATTTAAAAAAAAAAATCCAAATTTTTGTCATTATTTCACTTAAAAGAGTCATTCCATACAAAATCGTCTGAAAATAAAAAAAATTGTTGCCGATCCATTATAGATTTTGGTGTAACTTTGAAAAACTATTCCTTAGGGTCCCACAGAAGAAAATTTACACGAGTTTGACTTTTATAAGCACTCGTTTCCGCCTATTTAAATAAAGACTTTAAAAAATTGATATTTTTAAGCCTTATAGATTTTTCTTTTTGAAGATAACTAAATTATTAAAGCGGAATTCTGAGGGGGAAAGATAGTAATTTAAGTGTAAACACTGATCATTTGCTCAGTCAATACCTCTGATTAATGGCAACGTGCTGAAAATGAGTGTTTTTTAATAATTTTTCGTGAATTTCAATCGACTCTAACGTCTTAGACTTAGCAGCTTATGTTCCTCAGGAATTAAGTGTAAATTTTCTTCTTTGAGACCCTAAGGAATAGTTCCTCGAAGTTACTCCAAAATCTAAGATGGGTCAGCTTTGCCAATAGATGATTTTAAATTGAATGACTCCTAAAGCAGATATTTAGCTTCTGTTTGAATTATTATTAGTTTTCAAACAAGCAAAAACATTTATAAGAAAATATAGAAGACAATTTCCCTTTATAGATCAGATCTGTTCATCTATGATGATAATAAAGAATATGATTGTGCTTCCCTATAATCATTCATAAATTTATGAATCTTGACATGGTTTCGTAATAACCCAAAACAACAACAAAGTGCATATAAAAATGTAAATTAAAAAACTTACCACTACTTGAATAAAATTATTTGCTCTTTGATGTGTCCATTTTTTTTAATATGCATGTATCTGTAAGGAAAAATATTTATCAATGCACATAATTTTATATGATTAACAAAGAAATCAAAAAATAAACTTCTCACCAGATTTACTCAAATACCACACATAAGTATTTTTTTCTTTACCATTCTGAAGAATTTGTGTAAAAAATTAATTAATCACCAATCCTCCAGTAATTAAGATATCATTTGTGTTTATATTTCTTGAGAACTTGACACATGTATTGAAGTTCTGTTTGCTATCGCTACAGATTCAGAATAGTTTATTTTAAGTTACAGGCAATGTATATCAGGCGACATGCATCGTTATGAATGTAAATAAAAAGTCCATGTTTATAACTCGTACTGTAGTAAGACTTACGAGGTTCAAATATATCACGGGAATTTATAGATGAATATAAATCCGTAAATGTATTTATTTTTACGAATTAGTTACTGCCCAATCTTTAAATTGCAGTGAAATGAAACGCTAGAAAATGTATACCCTAATTTGGACTTTCAATCAAGACCTGCTTGGCTAAGTGTGGTTTATAAATATGGACTATTTATCCATGATATTATGGACCTTACAGTTGTATACAAATATTATTAAGTATGGGGTAAAATGGTTTAATCTCTTATGTATACAACTTCGTTTATTGAATTAAAAAAATATAGAAAATTGACAAAAAAAAAATGGTTTTGTTATTAAATTCTTGACAGTCTAGCTTGTATATTTCTTAACTTATTAACTAAGGTTTCAGTATTAGGTTTGCTGTATAAATTAGATAGTAATGCAACTACTGTATCTTGGCATAGTGAAGTTATTCTCCTCCTAAAACAAATAAATTGCATTAATAATATATCTTTTGAAAAATGGTGTTGATATTATTATGAACAGGCCAATAAAAGTGGTTTAAAATTAGCACATTTTCGATTCCAGTAGACCATTTTAAGCAATATTAACGAATTAAGGACCAATACTTTTTGCCTTTGAATAAATACATGATTATAAAATTAAGCATTATTCATCAGCATAGAAATTAATTTCATTTCAACTGTAATCATTAGTAAAATTTATTTAATTATGATTAAGACTGAAAGTACTGACCCTAAATAAGTTAAAAATTTGAATAGCCCTATTCACTAAGCACTAAAATTGTTCCTACGTGTAAATCCATAGAAATAATGGGCCTAGCGACGCCTAAGTATCATGGGGTAACTCACTCTCCCCACAAAGAGAATTCACCCATCAATTTCATTAAATAAAAAGGTACGAAAATGGCAGATTTAAACTTACTTTTCAATGCTGTTATAACTTTCGTGATTGCTGAGGAAGCAATTTATCAGCGCAGACGTTGCTTCAGATAGATGAAATTCGTTCTCTTCTAACTGCCAGAAGTGGTCATTTACTGATATCGTATTCAAACTAAAAATAAAACAAAAACTTTAATTAAATCACCAAGGATTATTCAAATGCTTAAATGTATGTATATTTTGTTATATTAAATTTTAACATACCTGTTGTAAACGTTGATCAGACTTTCAAAAGGAATATTCATACTCTCCAGTGCAGTGGGTACAAGTTGTTTGTCCCCCTTCAGTTTTGCATTTACAATTTCTAACTCATAAACGATGTAACCTGAAAAATATAAACAATTAATTACTTGTTTCAACAAATTAAAACTGTAAAACTTATAATTATACCAATTATTTACCAAAGATTCATTTAACTAATTATGATTAAAAATTCAGAAGATATAAATTTTCTTGTAATTTATTTTCACTTACTTAATGGAAAGCAGTTTGTGGACTGGGCATACTGTTTCGCCAATTGTTTAACTTTGTTCAAAAGTTGGCATACTTTATCTGTACCGGTTCCAAAGGTTTTCTTCAATTCGTCAGTTAAAATTTGCTGCCAAATCGATTCAACTAACACTTGATCTGTGTAACCAGCGCATTCTATAATCGCGAGCTGGCATTCCAACAGTTTAAAAGGTTCTGCAAAGTTCTCGTAAAGCTGAAATAATCAAAATTATACACATTAGAATAGGAATAATATAAGATACAGCTAATTTTTATTTTTTTTTATAAAATTTAAGCACTATGTTCCAGAAACACTGTTCCACCTTCTGGTGCCAGTCACACTTTCACACGCTGTGAAACAGAAAGATGGGGTTTCCGTTATTAAAAAAAAAAAAAAAAATGTTTGTAATTGTCTCCATATTTTATTAAATATTGACTGTGTTTAAATTTTACAAGTATTAGAAATTAAAAATTAAAAAAGACTTCAAAAATGTGCAGATGTCATCACCACATGTTAACCAAATTTATATGGGACCACCCCTGAGGTACCCCCTTACTAACAAAAAAAAAGGTGGTAAAGCATTATCTCTAAACATGCATAAAAAATAAAGAGTTTGAGGACCTCCATGGACCCAATTAATCGATTTTGGCCAAATTTATATGGGACTACCCCTGAAGTACCCCCTTTCTAACAAAAAAAGAATCATATAAATCGGACAAGGTGGTAAAGCATTATTGCTAAACATACACAAAAAAAGAAGAGTTAGTATTTTCTTATGGATTCAATTATTCAATTTTAACCAAATTTATATAGGACCACCCCTGACGTACCCCTTTTCTAACAAAAAAAGAATCAATCAAATCGAAGACCGTGTTAAAGAATTATCGCTGAACATACATAAAAAAAATACTGCGACGAATTGAGAACCTACTCCTTTTTTGAAGTCTGTTAGGGCCGATTCCACCGTTGTGTTAAACGAAGTTTAATATGACATTTTTACATTAACAATGTAATTTTAATCTCCGTTTAACACAACGGTGGAATCAGCCCTTAATAAAATATAATATTCATGACACCGAAATCGATACCTGTGTCGATTCGGTCCAGTTGTAAATCAGGAGTGAAGAGACATGTGGTGTAAATCATGGGAAGGGATATGCTGAAGGATTTGACGGCCCTATAAAACAATTTTATCAATGAATATATGTGTAAACAGTTGTAAGCTCATAATAAACAACATATAAAATACCAAGCAATGTTGCTAGTACAAAATACTAAATATCCAACTAAACATCTAATTTAGTTAAATTTATATTTGTTTGTAGTTACATCACCTGTTGTTTCTGGTATTAGAACATAAACAATTAATAGTTAGACAAGGAAAAAAAGTACACACCTGTGAAATTTCATATAAACCAGAGTTAAGGGCATTAATCGCGTCTTGAGAATTAGGTATTTGACCTTGCAGATTCGTTATGGCGTTCAGAATTTGTTCTTGTACTTTCGCTACTTCCATTTTATCTTCTAAGTCTCTTAAGAATACTCCGAGATAGGGCGCATAGCCTATCTTATCGCTTCGCATACACATTATAGCTCTAGCTAGATAGGAAAGTCTTTCTTTTAATGGAACATTGATACTAAAAAGAAAAAGGAAATAATAAATCTAGTCCTGGTACATTAACAGATAGAGCTTGGGAATGGTTTAATGTATTTTTTTTCTAAATTGTAGGTGAACATTTGTATATTTAAGTCCTTTTTACTATACAATTGTAATAATTGGCATTATTATTATTATTATTATTATTATTTGAAAAATATAAAGAATTTACCAAAAATTCTAAATACTTATTTGAGAAGCCTCGGCGTTTCTATTCCCTTAGGACTAAAAGAGTCTAAAACTAGTTGCCAAGGACCGCTCGGCCATGCTATTAAGGGATAATTTTTACTCTTATAATTTATGTTTTTTATTAATTTTTATTTGCCAATGGTGAATGGATGTTTCTTCTGGACTCCAGAACCCTTTGGCTGATGACGGCGCTGCCCTAATCCCTTAATAGTATATTAACAACAGTAGCTAAAGACCTATCAGTAGTTACAAATGGTCCTAAGGCTAGTTGGTTGTTAAACAATTCCCACAAGCTTATCAATTCCTTTACAATTCGTCGGCAATTTCACAATTCCTGTAAATTCCCTACCCAATTTCCTATTTTTTTTTTAATAAACTTACCCACTTCGTGACGCAAGATTATTTAATATTTTAGCAGCAGCAGCGTGATTGTCACAACTTTCATAATATTTCCACAAAAGGTCCATAGCTTCGACGTTATTAGGATTTTGAACTGACGTTCGTTTCAAATACGTCTCCAACGACGTATTTTGTATATTTATTAAATCTCCTGTCATATTTTTGAATATTAACCAATCGTAAAGTGCAATGTGCATAATTTCATCGGGAGTTTCCAAAATGTCGCTTATTACTTGCTTCACCTTAAAAAATATGATAAAGAAACATAACTTTAGCAATATACGAGGTATAACTAGAAAATAAGAGAACTTACCACATATCCAATTTGGGATTGTTCTACACCATCTAATAAGATTGACTGATTAGTTGAACAAGCGCGATCAGAATTTGGACTTAATGATTGAGTCTGGCTCTGTTCGTTATAAAGAGTATCTAGCATATTTAATATATGTCTGTAAATTTCCAATCTAAAATTAAAAAAAAAAAAAAAATCTAAATCCATAATGATGGCATGTGCTGGAAATGTGTCATAGTTCTGCTCATTTATGGGACACATGGACAACTGGAGGTCCAAAGGAACATAATATGGCAGTACTAAATCAGGATGAATAGATCAAAAAACTTTTGATGAATGGTTTTCTAGGATAGCTTTGCCCTATCTGAAGAGACAAGACCCACCACAAGCCTTAATTGGCGACAATAACAATTTATATCGAAATTTCAAATCTTTTTTTAGGTTCCTACCTAAATATTCATTTTTATTTGTTTGCAACCCAAAATTCAAAAATAAAACTATTAAACTGTTCTTTACCTTCTTTGATAATAATTGTAACCTTCTTGATCTCCACTGTTGTCTTCTGAATTGTAATAACTTTCGGCAATTTTATTGGGATCTATTTTCTTTCCGAAATGCGCGCACAATTCAGTAATGGCTTTGTAAGCCTTCAGATTTGTGAACTCTCTACATATATCAGTGATATTGATAGATGGACCAATTGACTTGCAAATCTGTAGAGCGGAGTGAATCATTTCTTCTTTCTCGTCACTATTTTGTATCGTTCGAGTCATTTTTAATATTTCAACTGCCTAAAGATAATGAAATAAGCCATTGAATTGGAATTATAAAATAATTATGTATTTTTTTGTTACTTTTTATAAGCAATGAATCATTGGATAAAATAAAGAAATGTTTACTGAAGTCACTATCACAACAACCCTTTCCCTCTTAAAGACAACTACTCCCTTGGCTAATACTATCAGTAGGAAAAAAAAAATCATTTTCAATTCTCTATATATTTAAAATATTTTATTATTCGTCTTTATTAGATTGTAATTTTAAGTTTTTATTAAATTTTTAAGCAATTAAAAACCTTACCTTTGAAAAAGCGGCATCCTCGGTTTTATACAATTGTGGGCAAACTTCCCTTAATTTGTTACTAATAGAATCAACCGAAGCGTTATCTCCCAAATAACTGTTAACCAAAGTTGTGATCAGCAATGAACATATGTCATGCCTATATAAAAATAAATCTTTAAACGTCGTATTTTGAAGAATGTGCTGTTCATTCTCCGGTAAAGTAGCAATTAATGAATGGAATTGATGTTCGCATAGAATTCTCCATAGACCTAAAGCAGTCAAAATAACCTTTTTAGTGATAATACTCGAAATGAAAGGATCACATATTTGTTAAAAAAGTCCAAAAGGCAAAGTTTTATTCTAGTCATATAACAGATCACCTTACAGTTATGATCAACATATTATCGAAAAAATCATTACAGGATTACTAGTAAGTTTGTTTTGGTATTTAATAAATCTTTAGATGAGGCAAAATATGAAACAATAATACAAAAAAAAAACTTAAAATCGCCTATTATCAGAGTTGAACTTAAAATAAAAAGTTAAAACAAAGTCCCATTCAAAAAAATAAAACTTTATATTGGTATTCTGGTTTAGGACATAGATATATATGAAACTAATTTTAAATTGTAGCCACCACTGAGCTATATATTTATATACAGTGAGCACCATAAGTCTTACCTCCCCTATCTAACTCGTTACTGGAGTGTTGTTAGGAAAATCGCCGATACAGGTCGATTTTTGATTTCTACAATGTACATTTTTGTATGAATAGTTTACCCTTAATTTCATCCCTTACTGGAGGGGAGCAACCCTTTCGAAAAATTTAAATGGCATGGGGTGGTGAGTGATAGCTCATTTTAAAGAGGGTTTTATTCTCTATTCAACCGTGTAAAAAAATTTGAAATTTGCTTCATTAATTCTCGACTAATTGTTGTTTCAGAATAACGGAAATTAACGTAGCGCACTCATCTCTAGAATTAAAATTCGGCCCTGCATGATTTCGGTTTTGGTTCAGACGTAAAGTAAGACTTTTTGCCATTAGCAGGTCACTGTTAGTCTAGTTGCTTTCCTATTTTGTGAGGTTTTGTTATTTTTAAACATTAATAAATCAACACGTAATGAAGCAAATTTCAAAATTTTTTGCACGGTTGAATAGAGAATAAAACCCCTTTTCAAATGAGCTATCACTCACCACCCCATGCCATTTAAATTTTTCGAAAGGGTTGCTACCCTCCAGTAAGGGATGAAATTAAGGGTTAACTAATCATGCAAAAATGTACATTGTAGAAATTAAAAATCGACCTGTCTCGGCGATTTTCCTAACAAGACCCCAGTAATGAGTTAGTTAGGGGGGGTAAGACTTAAGATACTCACTGTATATGCTGAAGTTCATGATACTCCGAAAATCAGTGATCATTCTGTGATTTCCGTAATTTTTTCCAATACAAGCAATACTTCAAACAAGTTATAAAAAAGTATAGGAATTATAATGAAACTAACATCTTTAATATACAAAATGGTAAATGATTAATACTATTGATGTTGAAGTAATTTATCCCCAGTTATATTCAAATTGTGAAAGAGTTATTAATAAGGTTGCCCCTATTCAGACATGTAAGTATAACCATAATGTACTATGGTTTGATAATAAGGTTTACAATAAAATTACAATTCGAGTGTATGCAACAATTGGGCACATTATTTCAAACTTAATTAATACCTCACTTGATACTGGCAAAGTTCCACCTCAACTTAAAATTAGTACTATTGTTCCAATTCAAAAAGTTAATAATACAATAAAATCGGAAGAATTTAGGCCTGTAAATACTCTCCCGTCAATTGAAAAGGTATTAGAGCTGGTTGTGTATGAACAACTGGATAATTCTATTTTAGTAACTAACCAGTCTGGGCACAGAAAAAAGTATTCCTGTGAGTCTCTGCATTACAGTTAATGGTGAGTAAATTTAAAAATGATGTGGATGAGAATAAATATGTAGTAGCTGTTTTTTTAGACCTGAAACGTGCATTTGAGACCATTGATAGGGGTATTTTACTTAAAAAAATTCAACAATATGGTGTAGGTGGAAAAGTATACCAATGGCTGAATGATTATCTGCAAAGTCGTAGACAAAAAGTACATTTTAACAATCAGATATCACCCGAGATTAACATTGACACAGGTGTTCCGCAAGGAAGTGTCCTAAGGCCGCTGCTTTTTATACTATATTTGAATGATATTGGACTGTTTGTTGATTGTGAATTCATTAATCTCTTTGCTGATGACAATCTGCTAGCATGCTTCAATGGTTTTCGATTCAGCAAAGGTTGTACTAGTTGACAATTATATTTATTTATAAAATAATTCATTCTTTGACTCCAGGATATTCAAGATTACAGCACAACATCAACTAACGATATATACAATAAAAAAGTTAATTATTTGAAATCACAGGCATCGTTATTGTATAAAGGTTTCCAAGAATATAATGAACTGCCCAGGGGCTTGAAGGACTGTAATTCATTAGCAAGTTTAAAAAAAAAAAAATGACAACTTTTATTAAAACTTATAAAATTTGATTTTAACTTTTATATATTTGATTATTACTTTTTTATTCTTCTTTTTTAATATGTGGGTTCATGCTTTCAACTGTTATTTGTTTTATTATTAATTAATTAATTTAGGTTATCCTACTTCAATAAATATCAATAAAAATATCTGTACATTTGTGCCAAACGAATTTTTAATATATTTTGTAGTTTACCCCGTATTTAATATTATTGTAATTTTCTTATAGCTCTTCTCTTACCTAATATTTGGCAACAGTGACATACAAAGATCTTGAGGGCATTTAATGACATCCTTTCTTCCAATTGAGCATCTTGAATGGTGTGGTTCAACCTTGTCATATTTAAAGAAGTATTGTTGAATGTATTGGGATTTTGGCTTTGACTGGTGTTTAATGTTGATAATTGTGTATTGCGCATCAAGAAGTTATGAAGCGCCGACAAATTATTTAAAATGAAAATGCAATCTTCACTACTTACTGTACTGTTGGTCTGAAATGGGAATTTTGTTAAACTTTTAGTAAAAAAAAATTACAATAAAAATACCGTTATAGTTTTGCCATCTAAACAAAGTTTATCAACTGTTCTTCTATTCCAAATCGGTCTCAATATTCTGCTTAAGTACAAGTAAAGACCATTGTGTTTAGGCGAAAAAATAAATGGACTGGATAAATCATATGCAGAGCCTGTAGGAGACATAGTTTGTGAAAAACTATGATATTGCTGAGATTGAAACTGTTGTTGCTGATATTGATGTGGAGCTGGAGTAGAAATTATGGGCGGTGCAAATACAGATTGACCAGAATCTTAAAAAATAAAAAAAATTATACTTGGAAATATGCTGTTAATTCTAATGTAGTTGTCAGGTGTATTATCATAATTTGTATCTGACAATTTTAATAAAAGAATTAATAAAAGAATTCTGTTCAAAAGCTTTCAAAATTAGCAGATAACAGAATGAAGCTGTATATGTAGTATATATTGCACCTCATGAAAGAAGGGAAACTTTTAAATACAGAGTCAATAAAGTTCAAAAAAAGACAGTAATGCCAAAGACAAGAAAAAGTTTAAGCTTGGCAGACACAAAGATGTTCCATTCATAGGTCCAAATGACAAACAGCAAGCAATACATGTCATGGCGCTTAACGTAACAAAATGACGTCCTTGCTAGATTGTGGAGAAATTTACAATATTTAAAAATGTATAACAAAGTGACAAAACATTTGAAACTTTAACTCCATTGTAAAAGTAGATACATTTTATTTTTAATTGTTTTTAACTCACAAATATTTCCGTGTGCCAGCTTAGGTTCGCCTCCAAACAAAAAGAAAGCTCTCGTTGCATATTCTGCTACTTCCATGTTGTCCTCATTTTCCAAAGAAGCCAGTATCAAACTGGTAGCACAAGCTTGATCTTCCTTTTGAATGGTGAAGAAAGCTTTCAATGCTCCAGTATCTTGACCGTGGCTATCTTTTAAAATTTGTTTAAGCAAATCAACTGGTCTCAATTTTATGAAAATTTGAACACTATGCGAAGTTAGTACTACATATTTCTTCGGAGGTTCTGCATGTTGTCTGACGACCAATGGAGGGGCTTCATGTAAATCATGTATTTGTAAGGGATTGATATTTCGCACCTAAAAAGTTATAAACATAAGTTTATGAAAGAACTGACAACTATAAATATCAATACCTCTGATATAGCCAAAGCTGGACCATCTAAATTCACAGCCGAATACGCTTCCATCAATGTCTGACTAAACGGAAATAAATCAGAACTCATACACCACAGGACATCTTTTTCATTTACTGTAGATATCAACACCAAATTCCTGTCTCTATAGTGGGACACATGCACCGACCTTGGTCTCACAGTAATGTTTGCAGAATAACCAGGAGGCAGTCTCACATGAGCTAGTGTTAATGTATAAGGTCTTTGATTGGGTTGTTGATTTGACAAACTAACAACTGTCAGATAAAATCTCACTCCTGTTTGAGAAACTGCTACCAGATTTAAATTGGCTGATTCAGAAGCTTCAATGGCAGATATGCTGACAATTGGACGGAAGTTTTGACTATCTAAAGTTCTAAAAAAAATGCACTCACTAAATTTGTATGTCTGCAACAATATCAATTTTCAATAATAAATTAAGTTTATGAAACTAGACAAATATGTTTTCAGTATACTATTTTCTGTTGTATGTTGTGTTAAGTTGTAGAAAATCAAATCAATTTATGATAAACCAAAATAAATGATTTTTATGCATAAAATTACAGAAAATCTTTTGCAATAAAATTTTATACTTGAATATTTTGATGTTTTATCAATTTCAACCTAAATTTCAAAAGGTATCTATAGAAAATATAGTTCAATCTATGGTATTTACAATTCAAATAGGTTCTTTATTGTTGAAAGGCATTAAAAGTAGAAATTTATAATGGATGTGAATCCTCTGCATCATCATATTCAAAATATTAAAAAAAAAAGAAACTTCCATAATATTGTTAAGATGGAGATAAAACTATCATGTAAAAACCTAGAAATTGTAAAAATTTCCAAAATAATTCAAATTTGCCTGAGACCGGACCTGTATTTTTGGCGATTCCAGCAAAGGAACTGCTGGCAATGGCGCGTTTCATAAGACTTCACACTGCATTCTCAGTGTGTCTCACACTATAGTATGATTTTCATTTAAAATTGGTTTAAACTTCTAAAATACCCAGTATAACCTCATACATACTGGTATTTTCTGAAAGGCAAAGTCAGGAGAATTTGAATTTAAAATCATAAACATATGTTTGATCAATTCTAAAGTTATGGATCACTCTGTATATTCTGTATCTACAACTTTTGTAAATAATATTTTTTTTGATATTTTCTATAATAACAGATATATAGAATTTCCACACACTATTGGGACACCCTGTATAAATTAATAATAACTAAAAAGTGACTGTTTTTCAACACTTTATATATTCAACATAAAATAATTCACAATAAGTTAACAAAAATAAGCCAGTTCCCAAATACTAAAAAAAAAAAAATGTTATCTTAATCACCTGTAAATATAAAATAAATAATTACATAAAGATGATTGGCTTACTTAACAGTATTCATTGCTTGGTTAACCAAAGTTCCTTGAGACATTTTACTAACTCTTGAAAATGAATTTCCTTTTTCTCCTAAATCACAAACTTCTATTGATCCTTTTTCTGTAAGAATATATAGAACATGTCTACTGTCATCAATCGAAATTTGGATAATGCCATCTACGTCACTTAATGCTGCATTTAAAAATGAAGGAACCAAAAAGGACAATGTGCTTGTTGATAAATTAATTTTTTTACATCTTTTACCAAACCAACCACTTTCAGCCTGAAAATATTAAAAATAGATTTTTGATGTCGGTATATAAAAAATTATTTACTTGATAGGTGATTTCAAATAAGTTTCCTTCTTTTGTGCCATAAAATATACGTCCATCTTCAGTGCTATTTATTATTGTGACTGTAGAACCATCAGTTGGTAGTGTAAATACAGGATCTGGTATCAGTTGAATTTCATCACTATTGTCACCTGGATTTTCAGTGAAAGTAACACCTGAAAACAATAGAATTAAATAATGTCAGAATGCATTAGATCAGCTTTTTCCAAACTTTGTTAAAAACATTATTCACAACCTCTTATTTTTTCCTACTCATCACCCAAACCAAAATAGCATCAAACATAGCCTGCCTAATATAGAAGAAATTGATAGTTTCTCAAATTTTATTTTACTATTTAAGTTTAAAATAAATACATACTTTACTTTGTGCTAAAAAATTGTTAGTCAGTAGATTACCAACAGTTGTTGAAATATTTTAATGAACAAAAATGCTCTTTAGTAACCAATCTGATTTTAGATCTAACCATTCATGTAAACCAGCACTTCAACTGAATGGAAAGATAAGTAAAGGTATGGATACTACAGTGGTATTCTTAGACCTCAAACGTGTGTTCAAACTATCAATCATGAAATATTACTCAAAAAATTTAAAAAAATATAGCACAAAAGGCAACAGGTAACCACAATTAATGATTCTGATTCATTATAGATTGATGTAGTACATGGTGTTCTTCAGGGAAGTATTATAGGGCCATTGCTATACTTAATCTATATTAATGACATCAGCAATTGTACTGAATGTCATTATGAACATCTTTTTGCTGATGACGACGATATATTGGTTAGTAATAATGATCTAGATGTAGCTAGTCAATAAATGAACAATTCTTTATATTTAGACATTTAAAAATTGATGTGTAATTTTTACTTTAATAAAGGTATCTATTATAACTCTGGCCTATGTCAATTCTGATGTTAATTTAATCTAATAAAAATATAAATTTACCTAATACAACAATATCAACAGATGTTGCCAAAATAAGTAGATATTTAATGAAAGCATGGAAAACTCCAACCTTAGGTTTAACCAGGCCAACACAGACAATAGTTTCACTTATTCCATCAAAATAAGCTAAATCGGTATTCTCTTCATAAGTCCAGACATAAATATCACTATCCACAGTTAACCAAGCTCTGTTTATTTCAGAAAATAAGCCCATCATACAGTGACATTGGACCCCTACAGAAATTGTTAAGGAACAAATAGAATACTTATTTAATATATTAATAATTAACACATTTTTTTTTTTGTCCAAAATACACAATTTTAAACAGTAAATTATATTTCTTGTAATAAAGGATACGTGCAAAATGATCAACTATTTCTGAAGGTAATGGCACACTATTAATACATTTGATTTGAGTCATATTGTTAATAATGTGGGGCCCTCCACTTAAAGTTGGATAATCATGGTCAGCAAAGCCACTTGCAGTAGAACCACTTTGTGGGTGTAGGTTCATAAAATCTAGTAGCCTAGGAGAATTATTGTCGAGTAATAATGAATTATCGATATTTCTAGAGGCCAATTCCATTTTTTGTACTTGATTTTGTGTTGCGTCCATTCGTTGAATGTAGGAAGATGTATTCATTTTGGCGGCGTGATTTTAACCAAATCCTAACCTTTTTTATGGCTTCTTCTAAATGATATATTTGCGGAAGTTTAGTTTTATTTAATGCTTAAATATAAAAACATGTTTTTATGAGCACATTCAAAAAAATGAAAACAAAATTCACAACGAAAAACGACATTAACCTAATGACAAATTTTGAATTTTGACATTGTTAAAAATGTATAATTCTTCTTCTTATTTTAATTTTAGTGGTCTCTGCCTCCTCAACATGCCAGTTATTGTATTATTTTTTTATTGTATAAGGTAGGCAATCCACATTACATTTAAATATACGAAAGGTTGCATATTTCTCAAGTCAACACCTTTACAGCATACAGGGTGTGTCGGACCTAAAGAATAAAATTGAACTAGAGATTTATCGTATGGCCAATATTAAGGTAGATTTCTTGATGGAAAGCCGTATTATATCTACCGATTAATTTAGGTTTCTATAGAATTGTCTTCCTTAAAATAAAAAAAAAAAAATTGTTTCGTTTTTTAATACAAACTAAAATTAACAAATTAAAATGATTTGTTCATATGAAAATGGTAAAATCTAAAGTACAGTCTGTTCGCTATACTTACGCGGGTTTCGGATTAACAAAATTATGCAAAATATTCATTGTCAACCAGTTCCAATAAGCCTCTTCCCAAGAAATTATGTAAAATTGCCCTAATGGTCAGATTTAAATTAAAATAACATTAGGATAGGTATTAAATTTGTTACAAATATTGCAGTTGAACTGATTCTTTGCAAGTGTTGACATTGTATGTATATTTTAAATTTATTGAAACTTTTAAAAATGTCTAGACCTGTATCGCGTATGCGATGCTCTAGGAATTAGTGAAACCAAATTAAGAGGAGTATTACAAAATCACAATAGTGAATTGCCGAAAGAAGATCACCGCAAAACTCGCCTATCATTGAAAACGAAAGATATTCCATATGGAAAGAAATTTGAAATTCGTGATACCATTTATCGAATGAGGACCAACAAGGAACATGTAACTTTAAATACAATTCTCTCGGAATTAATAGATAGAAAATTTGACGACATTGGCAGAACAAGTCTATGGCAAGTGATACATAACTTAGGTTTCAAATTTCAAAAGGAGGATAATAGAAACGCCCGTTGTGTCGTTCACAAGAGAATTAACTTTCTAAGAAAATATTCTAAATTCAAAGAAGAAGGGGAGAATTTTATATATTTAGACGTAACATGGATATTTTCTAGGGGTGCAACCAAGAGAATATGGCAAGATGATAACGTAAAATCCATTAAACATACCGATGGAGAAGGGAAGCGACACAAAATTTTACATGCAGGAGGGAAATCGGGTTTTATAGAAGATGCTGATTTAATATTTTCATCTAAATCAAAATCCAGTGACTATCACGATAATATGAACACAGAAATGTTTGTAAAATGGTTGCATGAAAAACTTCTCCCAGGTTTAACGTGAGCCCAGCGTAATTATTTTAGACAATGCACCTTACCATTCTGAAGTATTAAACAAAAGTCCAACGAATTCTTGGACTGTTGATAAAATTAAAGAATGGTTGACAAAGGAACATATACCATTTCCTCAATACATATTAAAATCAGAATTATTACGCTTGGCAAATATACACGCAAAACCAAAAACCTTTGTTGCGGATCAAATTATTGAAAGTTACGGTCATCAGGTTTTACGTCTGCCACCGTATCATTGCCAGTTTAATCTCATCGAATATATATGGGGAATAGCAAAACAATATTATGACAACCATATTGGGTCTAATGGTTATAGTGACGACGCAGTTCGGGATATTTGGCGAAAAGCACTTTCAATTGCAATTCAACTAAAATGATAAGAATTATATATTTTTATTCTAGTTAAAATTTAAGATTTATTTGTAAATGCAGACGAATATCTTGTGGAATGCTAATATTTATCGATTCTTCAAAAGAATTAGCAATTTTAACTAGACAATTAGTTTGACAGAATTGTCACTTATTTAAAATTCTAAAAATAGACCGGTTACTAAATATGAATTGTGTCCTTATTAATTAGAATGGATATGAAATTATATCCTTTTAATAGAACGCAATGGCATACTTTTTCGTTCTGTAGTGTGTGCAGAAAAATAATTATTGACAATTAATTTCTTGAAATTGATATTAGCCGAGTCCGTCACTGTTTATTTTTCAATTTGTACTTCAGGCCCTTGTGGCAAATTGCTGTGGATAAATTCTCGCTTGTTGTGTGTATGGCCCCGCATTCGGCCGCAATGAAGAGCCCACTCGAATGTCAGGTGGTTGTGTCTGCTCTCCTGACGTTAAATTGCACCAATTTGAACTACCAATTTGAACTACAATCATTTCGCGATGAACGAACTGGAAGCGATGAAAAATTTTAACGGAGACTCGTTCTTTTTCTATTCGAAAGACGATCGAACTCCTCGAACGATGCTTAATTAACTCTATTGTCCACGTCCCCTCTCGCTTCGCTGCTTCGGTCTTAGACCGACTATCATACTTTTAAAGCAACGCCAAATTTAAATTGGGCTATCTAAATATTAAGAAAAAAAATTAAAACATCATATTCATAGAGAATTTTCAGTTACCATAACTTTTAGACTCATAAGTACGTTAAAATTCTGTCAGTGGCGCATCATGGGTTTTTGGGGGCCCTAAGCTAATCGAGTGCCCTAGACGTACCTTAACTTCTGCTTTTAATTGTGCTTTTAGCAAGTGTTTCGTTTAAAATAAATGATTTAATAATAAATAATAAAGCTATAATAGTTATTTATCAAACCAGTTACGAAATATCATATTTTATGGAACGAGTGAATAATATACAAGGTGCTGGCAGAGTTGATGATACTTCTTTTTTTAAATACCCATTAAGAATGGTAAATATTCTACAAAAACAACTTCAAAGACAAATCATCTAATCTGATGAAACAGTTACTATTTCTATTATGCCGTTATCAATTTAATTTTTGTTCCCCTCTCTGGGTACGCCCTTTGGTAGTTGGCGCAACAAGTGTAAATATGATGGCCATATACTGTTTGAGTCGTCTTCAAGTCACTAATAACAAACGGTTCATCGATGTATGTAATAATAGATATATTCAAGAGATAGCCCAGGAAAAAATACTATCATGGTCCATATTTCTATTTTGAGTTGTTCCAAAATTTGTAAACGGTCATCAAATACATTAAAATCAATTTATTTGAGAAATTATCTATTTTTAGTTAATCAAGGGTTTAATGTTTACTTTTCTCATTGTTTAAATCAATTATTTTATTTCCCCGTGCATTAAATTCATTATATATCTATAACCTAGAAGTTTTATGGCATAAATCCTGACAATGGCAATTAATCAGCTAATACAACACGCAGGGACAAGCACCAGGATGTATTTATTGGAAGAATACTAGAAGAAGCATTATATATAAATAAAGTTCACCCAGAGATTTGTATCTGATTACGGGGTTTTTTCTGAACCTTTTTTGTGTAAATATTGTCAAACGGAGTCAATCAACTGATGGCACCCAGAATACTCAAAATCTGTACGCCAAACTTAAATTATGTGGTACATATTTTTTATATTTATTTCCATTTATGAAAATGACCACATGAATAGTTGAATAACCTTTAAAATAAAGAAGCATAGCAAGGATTTATCTCCAAATAAAGAAATAATTAAATAATTTTTGTTGTAGAAACCTGAATTGATTTTTATTCAGTCTTCCTCGACTAAAGTATGATAGTACTGTAATGTTATTTAAAAATATTTTTTGTAATATGATGTTCAAATACGGTGTTGTTTCATGTTTACACAATCTGTTAACGATATGTGGTCAGTCAATTATAAGTTTTCTAACGTGTAAACCTTAAAAGTTAGCATGATAGTAAAGTAAGTTCTTTAATATATTACTTCTAAGTCATTCTTAACTGTAAGTGCATTTTTTTTATATATATGAATACTTAATTTCTGATTATTTTAAATACCAAAACGTTTCAATAGTAATCGAAATTAAATCACAATAAAAATGGAAACATGTGGTCAATAATAAAAATACATATTTAACACTTTTTCTCATTAATTATTAGTTTGATATAATCCGAATAAATAGTTTTAATTTAATAAAATTAAAAAACTAGCCCAGATATGTTTGAAATATTTAATTAAATAAAATAGCAAATATAATACGAATATAAGATATATAATAGACATTCTTTAATATTATTTTCTACAACCACATGAACATTAGCTTATCTACTCACGAAAAAATATGCCATTGTGTTCAATTGAACGAATATATTTCATATTCATTCTATCTAGTAAGAACACTGCAAAAAAATTAAATCCACCAATCACAGTTTATATTTTGGTTAACTGGCTACTATTATTTCTTAAATTTTAAATAAGTAATAATTCTGTCAAACTAATTGTTAGTAAACTTTTTAGTTATTGAGATCAAATACATTAAAATGAGTTATTCTCGTGTAGAATCGATAAATAATAGCATTTCGTCTAAATTTACAAATAAATCTATAATTTAATTACCGGTATCAAAACTAAATTGTTATGTGTGGCGATGGAGTAGAGACTAGAGCATCTGGCTTTCGTGCGAAAGGCCCGGGTTCAAATCTAGACTGGAACTAATTTAATTAAATCGTTTTTTTCATGTTTATTTTATTTTATAAATAAAATATACTGTACAAATTGAGTGGATTGTTCATATCTCTACTCTTGTTGCATAAACTAATATTGTTTGGATCTGAGACGTTTATAGATTTCAGGTCTTCTGCGGAAGTAAAAAAAAAGAAGATATTTTTTTTATAAAAATAAAATATCAAATGGCAAATATCTAAACAAATTTTTTTATTTTGATGTCTCCTACCACCACTACAAGTATAATAATGATTATTTTAAAACTATTACTCCTCAGTAAAGTTTGATCTCATAATTCTCATTTCTTCTTTGCTTTATCTTTAAACTTATTCGTAGTTACAAGAAAGCTGGAAAAACTAGAAAATCAAAAAAAACAGCCAAACCCTAATTTTTTTGTCCGTAATATCTACTGATTTTTATAGTAAGCATTAAATGATTCTTTTTTTTTATAGATGCCTATTCGTAATGATGTTATTCTTTCTAAACAATGGACAACTTGCAATAGCAGAAACAATATATAATCCGTATTTTCACTTTCCTGGCGGCTCAGAAGCATTTATGGGAGTAAGTATAATTTTTACTAAAACCTCTCTGAATCAATCATTATCCTAGTACCTAGGGATTATTTTTCCTTTTCAATTAAATATCTATCAATATTATTAATACATCTATTTAAATATATACTCACAGACACCATAAAGATATATTGATTTGAAAAACACCCAATCGCATAGTAGATTTTTTGAATATAGGATCATCGACTTATATAGCTCCCTTAAACCTTCTCGAACCATCCAGATGGTCACAGTATTTTATATTTTCAGATAATAGTAACAATCGCCATACCAGTGGATGCCAATACACCGGGCGAAGTACTTTTATCTACTATTCTAGAAGGAAATTACTTAGTACCCACTAATGAAACTGAATTTGAATATCCCCCAAACTTTGAAGAATCTTCGGAAAGAGCGTTTTTCTATGAGATATTAAAGAGGAAAATTGAAGAGTAAGTTATAATTCAAATTTTTTGAAATTAATATCTTGCAACAGGCTGAGAAAGTGACATATATTCAGAGTGGATGGAGGCCACTGGGGTGCTTCCAAATAAGGCATACTTAATATATTTTTCACACTTTTGTAATCATGGTAATGATGGTAAAATAAGCTGTGTGTGTCCCAGCAAAAATAGGACATATACCAAGGTGGCTAGAGTGAAGAACATTCAGAAACTATTGGTCTGATGAGCTATTGCTGAGCAAATAAAAATAGTAATTGATGTTAGGTACATTAGGCTAGATCGAGCATCAACAGATGTTGATAGGATCCGATTACAATTAGACACCGCTGCGTCATAACATAACCAATACTTCGAATACATATTATCTATAACTATCTATAAATAAAAAATAAGTAAATTGTCAGGTGTAAAACAATATTTTCCATATTCCTATAATATTAACACTCCATTAAACCTCTAGTAGGCTGCAATAACCAATTAACTACTTTGTCAAATGATGACGTAGCTGTGTTCTTCTAATTGTAATCGGACCCTACAAACTAGTTTAAAGCAATATTCAAGAGAAGCACCTTGATTGTTTAGAAACACATGATTTATGAGAGGCAGTTGAATTATTATTTCTGACATCAAACTCGTTCTCGTTAGAAGATCTTTGATGGTACTCTTTTTCATATTTCGAAAGTGCTGTTTTCATCTTATTAACTTTTGAATAAAAATATTAGTCCTATTGCTAATGTAAATAAATATTTTTTAGCTTTGGGTATTCAGGGAAAAAATGTCTACTAAGAACAGTTTGCGAGGCAGCTCAAATGTCTAGTCTAAATACTGGAGTATTAGGAGATATTGTACACGTCCTTTTATCGTAAGTGTATTAGTTATTTTAAAAGTTTTTTTAATATCAGTAGTTTTCTTATTTTTGTGTTTTAATGATTCAGTTTTCCGGCACAGTTTAAAGATTCTAGTATAAGAATTTAGCTAATAAAAAGTCGTTACTCGAGTCACTAACTGAAATTATTTAAAATACTCATACTCGTTACTGGATTTCTTCTCGAGTACTCTCTAAAATTTGCCAAAGTACTCATTTGGTTTGAGTATTATTCCTATAAGTACTGATACTCAGATACTAATGTAAAACTACTCATTGTGAGTACTTTAAAGTACTTTGTCCAGCTCTGGATATACTATTAAAAAAGTTTTGGCATTTCAAATTGAAAAAATAAATAAATCAATGATCAAATAATATATTAATGATTGTACATAATACAAAGCACTTAAAATTAATTAACTAAAATTGTGAATATGTTAAATATGCTGGTAAAACATATTTTTTCAAAAATAATTTAGCTGCTTTATTTTATGACGAAAAGCAATGCAATCATAATTATTATTGATACGAGGTGTGGCAGAAAAGTTCGAATTACCCTTTTTCTGAGCCTTTCAAGGACGCCATTACGCCCTTATTCCCCTGAGCTCAGTCCCGGTGATTTCTTCCTTTTTTCTAAACTGAAAAATGTCCTCAAGGGCTGTAATTTCGGGACTTTAGAAAACATCCAAAAGACTGTAACGGACATGGTGAAAACCATAACGGTTGAAGACTTTCAGCGTTGCTACTAACAACGTCTCCATCGGTGTGTAGCTGTCCGAGGGAACTACATTGATGTTTGAAAGAAATAAAAACTTTGTAAAGTAAAAAATGACTCTCATTACTTTTCTGCAACACTTCGTATGATTTTATTTCATTTTACATTGCTACATGGTGTTTAAAAAAGTCTGTACCTATCTAGAATGAATATTTATTTTTTAGACCATCTTCTTCAAAAATGGAAAACACATTGAAGGAATATGAGGATGCTGAGAGCCTAGGGAAGAATAATGAGTGCAAATATTACGAGAAATTATGTCCTTACAGTATTTTAAACGCAATTAGTAAAATTAAATTAATGTCTCTTCTTCTCAATGATTAAGAATTTAAAAAAAAATCATAAAAAAATGTATATTTTTTCTCTATGTAATAAAATAAAAATAATCTTTCAAAAAATGTATTTTATCTTTCATAGGATTATAAAAAATCAGCTGTAATATTTTCCAGATTTTAACGAAAATTGTATAATTATTTAAAATGTTATCAAAAAAATTCCAAATTAAACATTTCAAATAGTCCTTTTTAATTTACTAGTAGAATTTTTTTAGTGCTAGTCGTAGAAAAAATATACTGTAAAATTCATGTGGATTGCTCGTATCGATTGAACACTCCATTGTAAAAACTACTATTAATTAGTATCTACATTTCAAGCTTTGCAGTGCATTAGAAAACACACATTTGAAACCCAGTATATGTGAGAGAAATTTTCCGGGTAACAATCATTTCGAAATAGCCACAATATCTACGTGTGAAACGTGTAAATCCAGTGTGAAGGGGCACACATGATGGAGTACCCAGATCGGGGGATGATATCAATGTCAGCGACATGGAAAACCACTAAAAATTCTGCCTGCCTTTAAGATGAGAATGAAAAACATCCTAAATTACTTTATTGTTTGAATTGATTACATTTTTATTGCCTTGTACGTTTTGACATAATCGTGTACGACACCGAGCGTTAACCATAATATACAGGGCGATAATAAAGTTTAATAAATTTTAATAGTTTGTATTTATTGTTTCAAAAAATATTGGTGTTATTTAATGTGTTATTAAATAAGAAAAAGTCTATTTTTGCATCTTTTTTATGCAGTTCCTGTAAATTTGTAATTTGAGTAAACTGTACAGAGTGGCCAGATAAAAACAAAACAGAGCCTTTATCGGGAAGCGTGTCAACATTTTGAAAAAACGCTCGAACCTGTCAATTTTTGATTAAAGGGAAACATTTTTCTATCACATTCTTACAACTAAATATCCCACTGTAAAATGAAATAGATATGTTTTAATAATTGGTATTATTATTTGAAAATAGTGAGCAGTAGCGTACACAAAAGTTGGGACAATATTTTCCTTTGCTCACCCCTAATTGATGCGCTTCTGAATAATTTTAAATGTTTCTTACATTGGGAATGAGAAACTTACAAACTCCACAAAATTTAACTTTTGTATCACAACATTTAGAAAATAAGAAAAAACTCTTCAACATTTAAACTTTAACACCCTATATATCCGAAAAAAAGCATTTTCTGGCCTCCATTATTAGGAGTTGAATGCCGTAGATCACCACTGGATAGAAAAAGCCAAGAATAGGGATGAATGGAAGAAACTAACAAGGCCGTACACATAAAAGGTCTGTTTCGAGTTTTTTATATATCATAGGATCTTTTTTCTATTGAAATAGCTAAGGAATCACCCTCTAAAGTTTCGTATCGTAGTTAAGAAACACACTGTATAGTAATTTGAGCTCATAAAATAAAAACCAGCAATTGTTAAGATAAATCCCAGATTTTTCAGGTATTACTTCATCGGTTTATAGAAAACTTCATCTGCATCGATCAAATAAAAAAGTTTTTTCGTCGACTAAAGAAAGTTTATTTAATTGGCTTATTTTTGTTTCAGGCACGTCCATCGTTATCCTTAGGAGTTTTCCTTACATACTGTCGCTGCTCTATGTCTATTAGATCATTCGTTTATCTAACACGTTCTTTTAAAGCCGAACCTTAAATTTTAAGACTTGGTACCTAATCCGTAGGTATTGATATAATTTAATTGGGGCAACTATAATTTATACGATGCTTTGCTTTGTAAATTTAGAATTTCTTGAAAGAGATAGGTATTAAAATACAATCTCAATTCTAAGCAAAAATATTTTTTTTCTACGAGTTTAACACAAAACTACACATTCTGAACTATTGTTGATTAAGAATTGAGGTACATTTCCTTATTTAATAATTATGATAATACAAAGTAATCATTTCCATATCAAACGTTCTTAAATTTAGAAATAATGCGCTTAAACTGACCTTTTGTTTCGAATTTTTTGAAGAATTGCTATACTAAAATTAAGCAAGATATTTTCTTCGATTAATAAGTTAGAGATTAAGGTTAGAAAAAAAACTTCTTGATTTTAAGTATCTATAACTTTTTTTTCTTCACTGATAACTGTCTTTCGCTTAAAATTTTTTTAAGAACAGCCATGCTGAAAACAGGTATAAGGGTTCTTAAAATAAAAAGTACTGTGCTTAAAATTGAGAATAAAATTACTTGATTTTAGAAATCTATAACTTATTTCTCTTATAAATTATTTAAGAACATCCATGCTGAAAATAAGTATGGATAACCGTCTTGTGCTTAATATTACTTTAAGAATACCCATGGTCAAAATAAATACAAGGATTCTTATTCTTAAAAGTGCTGTGCTTAAATTGAGAATAAACTTCTTGATTTTGAGTGTCTATAACCTTTTTTCCTCAAAAACTTTTTAAAAATGCCCATTCTCGAAATAAGTATGAGGGTTTCTTAAATTGAAAAGTATGGATAATCGTTTTATGCTTAAAATTTTTTAAAAACACCCATGTTCAAACTAAGTATAAGGATTCCTAAACTAAAAAGTAGTGTGCTCAAATTGAGGATAAAACTTCTTGATTTTAAGTATCTATAACTTTTTTTTCTTTATTGATAACGGTATTTCGCTTAAAATTTTTTTAAGAAAAGCCATGCTGAAAACAGGTATAAGGGTTCTTAAAATGAAAAGTACTGTACTTAAAATTGAGAATAAAACTTCTTGATTTTAAAAATCTATAACTTATTTCTCTTATAAATTATTTAAGAACATCCATGATGAAAATAAGTGTGGTTAACCGTCTTGTGCTTAATATTACTTTAAGAATACCCATGCTCAAAATAAATATAGGAATTCATAATTTGAAAAGTACTGTGCTTAAATTGAGAATAAACTTCTTGATTTTGAGTGTCTATAACCTTTTTTCTTCAAAAACTTTTTAAAAACGCCCATTCTCGAAATAAGTATGAGGGTTTCTTAAATTGAAAAGTATGGATAATCGTTTTATGCTTAAAATTTTTTAAAAACACCCATGTTCAAACTAGATATAAGGATTCTTAAACTAAAAAGTAGTGTGCTCAAATTGAGGATAAAACTTCTTGATTTTAAGTATCTATAACTTTTTTTTTTATTGATAACCGTTTTTCGCTTAAAATTTTTTTAAGAACAGCCATGCTGAAAACAGGTATAAGGGTTCTTAAAATAAAAAGTACTGTGCTTAAATTGAGAATAAAACTTCATTTTAAAAATCTATAACTTATTTTTCTTATAAATTTTTAAGAACATCCATGCTGAAAATAATTATGGATAACTGTCTTTTGCTTAATATTTCTTTAAGAACACCCATGCTTAAAATAAATATAAGGATTCTTAATTTGAAAAGTGCTGTGCTTAAATTGAGAATAAACTTCTTAATTTTGAGTGTTTATAACCTTTTTTCCTCAAGAACTTTTTAAAAACGCCCATTCTCAAAATAAGTATGAGGGTTTCTTAAATTGAAAAGTATGGATAATCGTTTTATGATTAAAATTTTTTAAAAACACCCATGATCAAACTAGATATAAGGAATCTTAAACTAAAAAGTAGTGTGCTCAAATTGAGGATAAAACTTCTTGATTTTAAGTATCTATCACTTTTTTTTCTTTATTGATAACCGTCTTTCGCTTAAAATTTTTTTAAGAACACGGAATATCACTGGTGTATAGTAGATATAGGACTGGGTCCAACACACTGCCCTGTGGTACTCTCGCCCTAATTTCTTTTATAGTCGAAATAAAATAAAACCAATATTACTACTAAATATTGTATATTGCACTACATTTCGCGCTTATTAGAAAATTATACAACAAATATTTAATTTATCAATAAAATCGAAAACAAACATTTTTAATCTCTCTGATTAAATATTTCCTAACGCGCTTTTGATGTTTTTCCACTTGAATAATTGAGTAGTTTCAAAAATAAAATCACATCCAATATCTGCCAAATACAGAATTATTATCATGGCTTTCAGCATAATATCGTCAGTTAGGTATATAATTCTATTAACATTTTTCGAAAAGTGTTTGATAAAAATGTTAATTAAAAAAAAAATGATCCTAAATATGTTTCAACCTAATTCTTACAAATATCGATTGTTTCTTATTGCGCTGTTGTCAGACGTTACATTTCTTTTTATAACGAAGTAACCTAATTACTGTTCTACTTTTAACTTGTAACTTCAATTCAGTTCTAATAACGCTTAGAATGTGAACTTGTATTGGCCCCATACGTTTTGTAAACAATCCTACTTAGGTATCTACTTTGATTATATATTATTGTACAAATTTTGCCGACTACTCGTCAGATGAGATGAGTAAAAGCCTAATCTGTTTGTTTTGTATGGGCAAGTTTATTGAAGATGTATTATACCAGGTGGACTCATTTTAATTATAGAGGACTTAATAATTATATGTTCATTTTGCGGGAATAAATTCAACGTAGTATTTCAAAATAGGGATCTCTGTATCAAATTAGATTAATCACTTGACTCTTTTCACTGAAAGTTGTAAAATTGCGTTTAATTATAAATATTTTTGGATTGTTAAACGTTACTAATAAAGAATATTAAAGCATTAAAATATAATTTTTGTATTGATAATTTTTTTTACTTTGGGTCCTAAAAAAACATCATCTACGTTTTAGAATCTCAATTATGAATAATCCATTAGTCATTGGACGAGAGTAGTAGTGTGCCTGCAATATATCCTCAGGTGTAAGAACTCCTTTAATTGAACCGTCTTCGGATGCATACCTGTCAATAGTGCCGAAGTCATTTGTAGTCCGCAAATGCTTATTGCACGAAGAAATATGCCAAGAATGCCCAGACTGAAGGCGCCTCGATTCAATAAAAGCTCATCTCGCGATGGTTAAGTCGCTGGAAGACCCATGGAAAAACAGCCCTTCGCCCTTTTCACCCTCTCGGCTGCGATGAAAACGCGAAAGTATTCCAGTAATATAGTAATTTCACTTTGTGAAACGATGATGGGAGTTCATAAATGCTGGAAAACGACCTACATGTAAAAAAAGTTGGAATTAAGGCATTTTATTTATTTCTCATTTTGAATAATGTCTGATGTAATATTTATTTAGGTCAAAGACTTGGATTCTTTGTGAATAAATTGTCACCAAATTTGCAATACTTTTAGAATACAGTGAATTAGAATTAGAAAATATTTTCACTATTTTTACTATTTCTATTTACAATGGAATATCAAAAAAAAAACTAAGAGCAAAAACGATTTAAACTTAACGTGCATACAAAGACACTAGGTACATAATGTAAAATCCTATCAGACTAGTCAAAAAAATGTTAAGTAAAAATACATTAAAAAATAAAATAAAATATATATAATAGACAATTCATGTTAAGATTAGTTTAAAAGTTCAAAAAATCTTCTATACTATAAAATACATTATTTACAAGCAAATCATTAAGATGTTTTCTTAAATCATTACGATTAATTTGATGATAACATGTAGTATCTTCTAATATGTTATTGAACTTATTGTAACACTTAATCCCAATATATTTTGGTGAATGCTGGCTTATTTGTAGTCGTGAAAAAGGTTGATGGATGTTAAAAATTAATCTAGTATCATATGAGTGCAGGTCTATATTTTTCTTAAATATATGCTCATTATCTTTTATGTATAAAATTAGTTGAAAAATAAAAAGGGAAGGTAGTGTTAAAATTTGGGTTTTCTTGAAAAGTTCTTTACATGTTGTTGTTGATGTCACCTTATACATGGCTCTCAGAACCTTCTTTTGAGATACAAAAGCTCTTTCAAAGTATGGTGAAGAATATAGCATAGTTTTAAAGTATCAAAAGATAGTGTCTCCCTTAAATTTTTGATCATATAACAACAAGTATTTAATTTTGAAGTTACCATTTTTATATGAGCTTCCCAATTTAATTTGAGATCTAATATTATTCCTAAAAATTTTATATCATCAACCTTTGAATAGTTTTTCCGTCAACGTGCAAGTATGGTTCGTAATCTGTTAATATGTTCTTGGGTAGAAATTGTATGAAGTTTGTTTTTGTTACATTTAATGCCAGACCGTTATCTTTACAATATTGGTTAAACTCACGAGACGCCTCATTGCTACTTTGAGTGACCTGTTCAATTTGATCATCTGTCATTACAATATTGGTATCATCGGCATATTGAACTATTTGTTGAGAACTTAAACAAAAATTACTTATGTCACTTATAAAAACTATAAACTTTAAAAAGAAGTGGGCCCAAAATTGAACCTTATGGAACCCCTATTGTACATGGAAGAGGATCAGATTTTAGACTATTTGTTACAATTACTTGAGTTCGATTTATTAAGTAAGACTATATCCATTCATAAGGTTTCCCTCGTATTCCTAACCCATTCACCTTCAATAATAAAAAATTATGATCCACCATATCAAATGCACGGCTAAGGTCATAGAAGAGTTCCAAAATATGTTTTTTATTATTGAGTGCTTGATATATAAACTATAGGCAAGCTGCAATTGCAGTAGATGTTGACTTATTTTTTCTAAATCCATTTTGAGTATCTGGCAACATATTAAAACTTTCAAGGTAATTAGTGAGTCTAATAAAGTATGTTGACTCAAATATTTTAGTTATTTGACTAGATATACAGATTAAACGATAATTTTCTATATTAGATGCAGATCCCTTATTTTTATAAACAGGAATTCCTTTAGATTCCTTCATATTTGGGAATAATCCCGAAAAAAAAAAGGATTCATTAATCAAATGTGATATTATGGGTTCAGCAATACAATGAGCAACCGATAACAGAATTTTACCATTTATTTCGTCAATACCTTCAGTGGATTTAGAAGTAGTTTTTTTGATTATAGTGATGATTTCACTAGGAATTGTTGGAAAAAGAAAAAACTTTTATGATGTTTATCAATACTCATAGTATAGTTAGGTACAATATTATTTTTATTTACATTAATAAAATAGTCATTGATATAATTTACTTTTTCTAAGGATGTTAATTTGTCATCATTTGTAAGTTTAATAGGATTCAATAAGTTGTTTTTTCTTTTTGTGTATTCAGTTTTGTTTAAAATTTACAAGAAAAAGAAATTTTTATTACTAAACAGTTATTTTTATGACTAATTGATTTTGGTGGGGATAACATTTTTCTTTTGTCAAATTTTGTTATCTTATATATGCTAGGTACACACTTTTAATACGATTTTTTTTATTATTTCCCTTTTTTCATTTCCTACTGATAAGGTTAAACACAGTTACTAATTATTTCTTAAGAAGCTAACTCTAAATAAATCGCAATTCCTCTATACATATAAAAAGTTTCAAGTATTACCCCTCATTCTTATCATAAATAATAAATATAACGAGAGGCGTCCGAAGTTGTGACTACCACAAAAGTTGGATGTTGGATGTATGCATTTGAACTCTAATGGAAATATCAACAAAAGTTTTAAGATGAGTTTAATCCTGTTATAGTGAATGTTGGGTAATATAATATTGTATATTTCTATATTTTTTTCCTCAAAAGATTTATTTATATGGCCTTGTTTTTTTCTATATGGAAATACGATTCTAAAAAGATTTCGGAATGAAAATGAATTAAAAGTAGATATCTATTGGTGTTCAATATCGAAACAATATATTCGGGAGTAAAGAACCAGGATACGATGAAATTTTAAAGGCACTGGGTCATAGTTTTCCTTTTTTCCTCGTTATAATGTATAAATTCGGGCATATCGGAGGGATTTTCTCTCAACAAGTGGCCGAGGAAGGTAAAATGGCATGCGTACGACAACTAATGGCAGGTCGTTGAGTGGGCCGGCGGGGATGATATCTCGAACGGAGTCCTGGTGAAGCCAGTCCGCGCGTGGTGAGCGAATCCTTGCGCAATCGCGACCATTTACGACGGGAAAGCGTGAGTATTGCTGGAGTCAGAGGCGACGGGCACGACGAGGCGGCCGACGCCTGGGCCGCAGCGATGGGCCTGCAGTAGCGGCCCAACACTCCATCGAAGGGGCTTCTGGACTTCCCCCACGTAAGTACCAAACTCGCAGCATGGATTGTCTTTGTTCGTCTTGATGTTTTATTGATAAAAATCTAGCGGAAATGTTATATTTAACTGGTGGGAATTTTAATCGCTTTTTGTTTTTGGCGGGTAATCTCCAGTGTTCATATAAATCGGTAAATTTGTTGGAAACTCTGTAATACACAAGAAGAAACGTTTTGGCGTTTCTATACCTGTTTTTGACCAGCGAATATCTAAGTTATTCAACAAGATTTTTTTTTTTAATATGATGTATACAGGTAATATTTTGTGCAACAAGAGTGGATATGATGGCCATATCCTACGTAGACGTCATTAGAGTTCATTTTCATTAAATTCTGATTAACATCAAATATTCATTCATCAAACTTTTCATCCATTTTTGTTAAATTTTTATTTTCTAAATCCACTCGAATTGTCTATTATTTTTTGTTACGACCCACTAGCGAAAATCTGCAAAATTTCCAAAACTAATTTAAAAGTTTTTAACAAAACATTTTAAAAATTATTTTTATGACTTTTATTAATTTATAACATAAAATAAATTTTGGAAAAACATATTTTAATTATTCTTTATCCTGGATTTGAACTCTTATCTCTGCGCTAACGAGACAAGTTTATTTTTAATAGTGATAGATAAATATTTTTATTAAAATTTATGATTTATTTATAAATATAGACGAATCTTTTGGGTGATGTTATTATTTATCGATTCTTCCCTAGAATCACTCATTTTTAATTGTATATAATCTTAAAAGCTGTAAAATATACTGACAATTAGTTTGACATAATTGTCGCTTATTTTAAATTAAAAAAAAATAAAAGTAACCCGGTTACCAAAGATCTCTGCAGTGTCCTTACTAAAATGGATAGGGCCTACTTCTTCGTTCTGTAATTTGTGCATAAATTCGTGCGGAGGTAGAAAAAGTCTGTTATTTCCAACTCCTTGTCAAACCATTTCATAGAAGCCACCCCTGACAATTTTTTAAATATAAGCCCATGTTTTATTTGTTAATATGATACAGTTTTATAGTTTTTTACCCTCATTTCAGATATATAATATGCTTTTTTAAGGCTTTAATTTTAAAAATTGGAAACAAATTAAACTGAACATAGGAACAGTTTCATTAAATAACACTCAAAGGTCATATAAAATTTCATGAAAAAATGTCAAACGGTTTAAGATCAACGTTAAAAAAATTCATTTACATTTTTATCTTATACACCCTGTAACTATTTTTGGGTGCACTTTTGAATATAGGTAAGCACGGTTTAATCGACCTATTTTTGACCCAAGAATACGTGGTATAATTTATGATCAATCTTTTTGAAACACCCTGTATATTTGGGTGGTTTAAATTAACCCCTTATTTTTCTAAAAATTTCATTACATTTTCAAAAAATTTCATCATCAAATCCTCATAATATTTTCAACAAATTTTCATTAATTTGCATCAAATAAAGATTAAATTTTCATCAAATTTTCATAAAATTTTCATAAAATTTTCATAAAATTTTCATAAAATTTTCATAAAATTTTCATAAAATTTTCATCAAATTTTCATCAAATTTTCAACAAATTTTCATCAAATTTTCATCAAATTTCTATCAAATTTTGATTAAATTTTAAACAAATTTTCATCAAATTTTTATATTAAAAGAAATTGGCTATGTCTATGCTTATAAAAAGAGGTTAGTTAAATTAATCCCTATTTTTTTTTAAATTTTCATCACATTTTCAATAAATTTTATATAATTTTCATCAAATTTTCAACAGTTTCTCATCGCATTTATATCAAATATTCATCAGATTTTCATCAAATTTTTATCAAATATTCATCAAATTTTTATCAGATAATCATCAAAATTTTATCGATTATTCATCAAATTTTCATCAAATTTTTATCAAATATTCATCAAATTTTTATCAGATAATCATCAAAATTTTATCGATTATTCATCAAATTTTCATCAAATTTTATAATAAAAGAGATAGGCTGTGAATATATTTCAAAAAGGAGATGAGTTCAATTAACTCCTTATTTTTCTAAAATTTTCATCACATTTTCAAAAAATTTCATATAATTTTCATCAAATTTTCAACAGTATTTCATTAAATTTTCAACAGTTTTTCATCACATTTACATCAATAATTCATCAAATTTTCATAAAATATTCATCAGATTTTCATCAGTGTTTTATCAGATTTTCATCAAATTCTTATCAAATTTTTATCAAATAATCGTCAATTACTTATCAGATTTTCAAAAAAATCATAATTTTTATCAAATTCTCATATAAAGTTCAACAATTTTTCATCAAATATTCATTAAATATTGATCAAATATTCATCAAATTGTCATCAACTTTTCATCAAATTTTCATCAAATTTTTATAATAAAAGAAATTGGTTGTGAATGTGTTTTTAAAAAGAGGTGAGTTGAATTAACTTTTTATTTTTTAAAAATGTTCATCTAATTTTCATAAAATTTTTAACAATTTTTCAATAATTTTTCACTATATTTTCATCATAATTATTATAAATATTCTTCAAATTTTCGTCAAATATACATCAAATTTTCATTACGTTACATCAAATATTCATCAATTTTTCATCAAATATTTCATCAAATATTTCATCAAATATTTCATCAAATATTTCATCAAATATTTCATCAAATATTTCATCAAATATTTCATCAAATATTTCATCAAATATTTCATCAAATATTTCATCAAATATTTCATCAAATATTTCATCAAATATTTCATCAAATATTTCATCAAATATTTCAATCATCAAATAATCATCAAATATTCATCAAATAGTTATCAAATATTCATCAAACGTTCATCAAATATTCATCAAATATTCATCACATATTCATCAAATATTCATCAAATATTCATCAAATATTCATCAAATATTCATCAAATATTCATCAAATATTCATTAAATATTCATTAAATGTTCATAAAATTTTTATAATAAAAGAATTGGCTTGAATGTGTTTCTAAAAATAGGTGAATTGAATTAATCCCTTATTTTTTAAAAATGTGCATCACATTTTCAAAAAATTTCATATAATTTTCATCAATTTTTCAACCTCGCTCTACTCGTCCCGTAAATATTCACTTGTTACATAAAATAAGTTATTTGGTAACTGGTTTCATAAATAGCTATTTCGAAACACTTGCTGCGATTATAAAAACTGTGACATATAAAGTCAAAATATTAAAAAAACAAAAAATATTATTAAAATTTTTTATTTTGTTTCGACAGATTATTCAAATTATTCCCTTAATTATAAATAACGAATTTTAGTTGTAGTATACTGGGTGTCCCACGTTATTATTTACAGGCATATTTTCTTTATATATTTAAAAAGATAAAAAATCAAAAAAAATGTTTTCAATGGTTTTACAAACCCTTATACTCCTACATTTATTTTAAAATAAGATCTCATCGAAAATTAAACGCCATTTTATTTTGAATACAGTGCTACATATACAAATTTTCATATTTTTACACCATAAAAAAATAAATATTTTCTTAAATACACGTTCATATATTTAAACAAATTTATTTCTTTACAGTCTGTTACAACAAAGTTCATTTAAATTTATAAACTTTGACAGAACTTGAGGATGTGATCTGTCTGATTGACATAAATATCAAATTTTGCACGATTTAATAAAGTTATGAGATCATTAGCTATTGAGAGATTTAACAAACGTTCTTGTAACCGGCTGTTAGACTAATTTAATTATTTATACAAAGAAAATTTCTATGATCTAACCTACAACCGATTTTTTTATATAAAAAACACCTATCAAACGTCTTAAAATTCTCCAAAACTTTTTATGGTAGTAAAAAACATTTTTGTTAAATTTTCAATTACTTGCTAGCATAAAACGTTTTTTTTTCACAAGTTCCAAGTCGGAAAAATCCATTTTCCAAGTTAAAACTCAGAAAAATGTATTTAAGCGTACTCTTTAGAATAAAATCATATTTTTCTTATTTAACAGGTTGCTTTAGAAGCTATAGAAGGCGAAGTTAAGTATGTTAAATAAATAGATTTTGAAGCGTTATCCGAAATTATTTTTTCCAAGTCTAAAGTAATTATTTCCATGAATCAAAGCTAGTATTTTTTTCTACCGCAGGGCCTTATTTAATGCCATTAATGCAAAACGCTACCGAGCTTCCATTTGAGCTTTTCCAAACGGCACTTAAAATGTTCGCGTCAGTTTAAAAAAAATAATTCTAAAAAAATGAGGATTTAATACTACGGTTGTCACAAAGATCAGCTTCAATATTTCTGATTATTTTTGGTGTTGCTTATTCCAATTAAATTACTCATTTTTCCTAGTTGTTAAATATTTCTTTCATTATACAGGTGGGTCAAAAAGGACTACACATATTTTAGGATAATGAAAATTATATCTCGAATTTTTTTGACCTTCAAACAATATAATACATTAAAAAACTCCAAACCTTTATGTTAAACAACCAGTTCCAATAAGCCTATTCCCAAGAAATTAGGTAAAATTGCCCTAAGGGTCAGATTTAAATTAAAATAACATTAGGGTAGGTACTAAATTTGTTACAAATATTGCAGTTGAATTGATTCCTTGCAAGTGTTGACATTGTATGTATATTGTAAATTTAGTGGAAATTTTAAAAATGCCTAGACGTGTGTTAGATGTAGATAGTCTAATTTGTAGTGTACATAAGTATTTTATGGATGAAAAAGAAAATGGCGGTCCTTTAAAATCGGTAATGTCTGTACAACAATGCTCTAGGAATTAGTGAAACCAAATGGAGAAGAGTATTACAAAATCACAATAGTAAACTGCCGAAAAAAGATCACCGCAAAACTCGCCCATCATTGAAAACGAAAGATATTCCAGATGGAAAGAAATTTGAAATTCGTGGTACCATTTATCGAACGAGGGCCAACAAGGAACATGTGACCTTAAATACAATTCTC